CCATTATCAACTGCCTAACCCTTTGGGCTGGAAATGCTGTGGTTGAACCTCAATCATTTTGCATATAAAATTCATGTTTGAAAGCTGTATGATATAAAGCAGGTGCTCTGTCACCAAAGTCTATCTTGCCTTCTCCTACTGGCATTTCAGTAAATTGCATAATAATTACAGCAAGTATAGGAAAATCTCCACACCTGCACTTGCCAACATTGCCTTTTTCTAAGTATCTCACCCGCCACCATTTTTGAACACAACTCCAAAACTATAACATTGTTTGCAGGGTCTGGGAATGTAAATACTTGCAGAAGGTTTACATGTTATTCACCTGAGAAAAAAAGCCATAATGAGCATCTGCCAAAAAAAACTACTCTTTTAAACAAGCTACAACTCTTTGACAGCTAAAGGGCTCCATCTTGTGTTGTATACAGGTCTGATCTTTCCATTCAACCCTCAAATTAGAAGAATTGTTTTTTCTTTTCATTAAACAATGGGTAATATACTGACTACACAAGCCATGTAAAAGAAAAACAATAGACCTATGAAAGGCAAAGAACTTACCAAATGCAAACTCAACCAAATTCACAGAATTATTTAAACATCTGAAGCATGGTCTACCCTTTTCAAATGGCAAAGAGGCACTTTAAGTATGGGAGGTCCCTGTTCATTAAAAATTGTCAGGTACATTCCAATACATACATCATACATAGACCTTTATTGGCATTTGATTACATTAAAGAGAAGTAAACAGGTTGCTAGGTAGAAAATATAAGGGACAGGTTAGAACTAAAGTTGGGAGGGATGGGGGTTGCGGTTGCTCATAAGACTGGTTGACAAAAATTCCGTGACGAGATCCAGCTGAATGTCTAATTGGCCACGTGGGTTTGCTACCAAACTTTCAGAGCCAAATCATTCTGAGTATATCTCATGGTTATGTCTGTGTTGCTTTCTTAATAAGGAGATTGGCCTCTGAGGAAGAAAATTTAGACAGAACTTGGCTGAGTTCAATTGGCTCTGCTCAGCAGTTAGAAGTTTGTCTGGTTTTCTTACTCGTCCCGATTTCCTGCACCCCCATAAATCTCTTTGGAGATACGGGGCTGTTTACATGGTTGGCAGCGGCCGGACGAAACACGTGCTTTAGTGTGATTTATGGTGAAATAGGATGGTGAACAAGTGGGGTTGAGGTTTGATAAGAGGGTACGGGTTTCTTGTTCCAGTAATTTAGACTTAATGATAAGGTGGGCTTTAGGAAGGTCAAGGTCAGCCAGGATTCATTCCAATACATATATAACCCAAGAAAAACCTGGGTGAAATGGGATGGGCCCTTTTTCTATCTTTCCCTAGAAAAACCCAAAGAATTTTCCCCAGTTTTTCCACACTGGAACTTCATATCTCCTTACATCTGGCACACTAACAACACCCTCAGCAGATTTAGGTTATAAGTGCAATTCTAACTGCAATCCTGCTTATTCAGAAATAACTTCTACTGCATGCAAAGTAGAGCAGATATAACTCAGCAGGTTGGAATGCCTGGGCCAGAAGTTTGCATCCCCACAGTGCCCCCAGTGAGAAGAACGAGCTGAGATTGCCAAGAACGTTTATAGTTGATGGGATTATATGCCCTGTCACCTGTACCATGGCCCAAAACTGCCACAAGGAGGGACAAATAAACATCTTGAGTTTTTTAGAGCTGGAAAAATCCTGTGAGGGTTGCCATAAATTGGAAATTAATGTATGGCCCATAGGGGTATGTGCAATGAGGTATACAACTAGGCAATTATCATGTGGAATTGCAACCTAGAACTTGCTACTTTCTGACATATACTAATCTCATAGCTACAGAAGTTTCAGTCTGAAGCAGTTACATAGACATCAAAGATTACAAAATTGCCAGATAAAGGAAACTTCCTAGCATTATCCTACAACCTCCACCTTCACTGAAAACATACAAAGCAGAAACCAAGACAGCAATTCATGTTTTAAGTGCAGAATATAATGGCCTGTCCCCTCTCAAAAATGACTCAGTAAAAATTACAGCATATCACAGCTTGGTTAGTTCCCTAAACAGTTACCAAGTTATCAGTTTCCACATGAGTCAATATTTTAAAACCACTTTTTTAAAAACTAGACTACCTTATGGTGTACAAACATAATTCTGCTTTTAGGAGTTAAAGATCATCCCAAAAGCTGCTTTCCATCATGGAAATTAAAATGGAGATTTTAATACAGCTTTATCAGCTACCTTATTGTTGTTGTTGTTTAGTTGTTTAGTCGTGGCGACTCTTCGTTACCCCATAGACCAGAGCACGCCAGGCCCTCCTATCTTCCACTGCCTCCCAGAGTTGGGTCAAATTCATGTTGGTCGCTTCAGTGACACTATCCAACCATCTCATCCTCTGTCGTCCCCTTCTCCTCTTGCCTTCACTCTTTCCTAACATCAGGGTCTTTTCCGGGGAGTCTTCTCTTCTCATGAGATGGCCAAAGTATTGGAGCCTCAGCTTCTGGACCTGTCCTTCCAGTGAGCACTCAGGGTTGATTTCCTTCAGAATGGATAGGTTTGGTCTCCTTGCAGTCCAGGGGACTCTCAAGAGCCTCCTCCAGCACCACAGTTCAAAAGCATCTTTTATGCTTATTAGATATACCTTATTAGATATCTTTAAAAATCTATGCTATTCCAAAGAGAGGAAAACGCTTGAAGAATTATTCCTACCCAGTTTCACACACAAGTTCATTTTAGGCAAGCGTAAAAATTACACAGCAACTAGCTTGGAAGGGCCACCATACATGCAGGATCAGTACCCATGGTTTCACTTATAATTGCCTGAAAATAAATTTTTCAATTAAATTTAAAAGGTAGGAAGAGATTATTTGTCAACTCAATCCCATACACAAATATAAATTATAAAACACATATGTGAAGGACAGAAAGAGGATGGTGAGCCGTCCTCAACCATAGGAACACCCAAAGGGGAAAAGGGAATGAAAGAGGAAAAGGTGAGTGAGCAAAAAGATGTGTTGGTAGAGGAAAGGAAAGAGGCAGATGATGAAAGAGGGAAAATAGAAGTTTGCCTAGTAGAAGGAGGAGGAAAAGAAAAGAATGAGCTAAAAGTATCAGTGTGGGAAGAAAGTATAAAGGAGGAGGGGGAACAGTGGTTTGGCAGCAGTGTAGACAAAAGTAGGATGGTGATGAAAGTGGAAAAGAAAGATGGGAAAGGAATAGACTCCACTTATGAAAAGGCACATGGACTTTTGAAAGATTTCCCCAACCTAAAGGTCAGTGGATTGTTACCAGATCCAGAAGTGAGGAAGGAGAGAAAAATGGTGTATGAGTCTTTGGAACAGACAGTGATTGTTTTCCCACAGGGACGAGGGTGTGGAAGGAAAGTGATCCGGCCTGATCAAACCTACAACCAACCCCTGAAAGAAGGGGACTGGACTTGACAGCCATGCTGCGGCACAATATGAGCATCTTTGCGGAATTCTACAGATCTGGAGTGATTTGGTCCAGCCCCCCAGTGAATTACTCCAATCTACAAGAAAAGCGTTCATTCCCGAGTTATGGACTTTTACCAGAGTTGTCTTGTTCTGACCCAACTGAAGTTTTGATTGATTGATTGATTGATTGATTGATTGATTAATTGATTGGCTTTTTACCCCGACCCTCTAGACAATGTGTACTCGGGGCGGCTTACAATTAAAACACGGCAATATGTACATATATAAAATCATAAAAATTTTCAGTTATTTACAATTATAACTACAATTTGAGTAATTAATTACCTACCAAAGCATTGCCAAGATGGCCTACCATAAGGAAAAAGAAAAAGAAAGTAAGTAGTTGTAGAAACACCAAAAGTTAATAAAGTTGAAGATGTTAATGTTTCAGACAGGTCTCAGTCATCATTTCCAGCCAAAACAGTGGAACTACTCCAAGTTTTGAATGAACCCAATCACAACATCTTACTTCATTATATAGAAGTTCCTGACATACTATTCTAATGTTAATACTAAAACGAACGTGCCATGTTAAGAAATATCCGGTGATGTAGTTAAACATCAGAGTAAACCAGATCCAGGCACCAAAAACACCAATTTAAGCACTGGAGAAGGCTTCGGGAGCCTTGGGGGAAGGGAGGGAGAAATAGACTTTAATTGTTAAAGATCACAAGAATGCCCCAAGTGGGTTCAGGGCCAGAAGCATTGATCCAGTGGTGATTTTTCCTATTAAAGACTGCTGCCATCTTAAGGCTCCCAAAGGCTTCCCCAAGGCAAATGAGAGGCCTAAGGAGCCTCCAAAGCTGAAGCGGGGGAGGGAGCAAAGGTAGAGGGGTAGGAAGCATTCAATTCATTTAAATTTATTATTTCCAGTGCTACATCTGGTTTAAGCTGGTATAACTACACCAGGACGATTTACATAAAACCTCTCTTCTGCCTTTCCACAAAGGGGCAGAGAAAGAAAGAGAACATGCACTTAACCACCTCTCTCCAAGCACAACAGGCTTCTTCTTGTGAAACCTGAAGCAGCTCAGCTATTTAAGAGACCCTTTGGCAAGTTAATGAAGTGCAGTGGTTAGAGACATCTTCGTTATCAGAACCCACCAGATATTTTGACATATTACCCTACTTCCCTGAAAATAAGCCCTAACCTGAAAATAAGCCCTAGTATGATTTTTCAGAATGCTCGTAACATAAGCCCTACCCAAAAATAAGCGCCAGTTAAGTGAACACCCCCTGCACCATTGTGCAGCAACCAGAAAAATGTGACATGACTGTATTTGAATAAATGTAGATTGTTGTACATGAAAAAACAAGACATCCCCTGAAAAATAAGCCCTAATGCATTTTTGGAGCAAAAATTAATATAAGACCCTGTCTTATTTTTGGGGAAACATGGTATTTTTGAGCATAAGCAGTGCTGTCTGGAGATGACACAAGTCATGGTATAAAGCATCTTCATGGACCCACCCTGGAGAAGGATTCGGAGCTGCCTTTATTCAACCTACCTGACAGGGCACTGCAAGGCAAAGGGGAACAAGAGGAGCACCACACACACCACCTTGAGCTCCTGTGTAAAATAAATTAAAAACATAACTACCACCTAATCCAACCTGTATTCCCAAGTGTGGTGTATTAGGTGGAAACATCAGAATGGGTTTTGGATTTATCCGAGGGTAGAGGGGAGCACGTAGTTATGTATAAGTGTGTTTCTTTATTATTTCATTTCACATTGGTAGGCTAGTGGCGTTTTGCTTATCTCTTGTTATATTATTGAACAATTTTTAAAAATTATCCAGGTTCAAGTCTCCTCTTAGCTATGAAACAATTCGAGCCAGTCCCTCTCAGGACTCACAGGACTGTCGTGAAGCTAAAATGGGAGCAGAAAAACTATGTAGAAGGCCTTGAACTCACAGGTGAAAAAGCAGGATTTAAATGCCACTAACATTTCTTTCTTTTTTTTCAATTTTTTTTTATTATTATACAAAGCCATCTATACTGATTTAACATAATGTCACCAGGGTACAGCTTATAATCATTTGTAAAACAACTACTACACACATGACACTCCTAATCTATACATCCTTCTAACCATTGATAGAATAAGTCCCATGTTTGATAATATTTTGTATCTTCTTTTCCTTTGATTTTCAGTGTTGGTCTGTCCATTTCGGCGCAGTCCAGTATCTTTTTAATTATTTCCATAGGTGTTCCTTCATTTTTCCAGTACTGTGCATAAATAATCCTCGCCGCTGTTAGAATATGCAATATTAAATATACATTTTGTCTATACAAATGAGTTTTTTTAAAAATCAACCACTACTCAGTAAGTAGCCTGAGGGAGAATCAGAGTAGGCATTAAAATCAACCACTACTCAGTAGCCTGAGGGAGAATCAGAGTAGGCATCACTTTTAGCTCCGCAAGCCAGCATCCCCGCCAGGAGGTGGAAAGAAGAAGCCGCATCCCGACCCCCGTCTCAAGACGTGGAAGGCGCCCCCCAATTTCTCTCGTATAACGAACGCCACCTTTTCCCCTCTGCTTTTTTTAACCGTCACCCGCTCGCGCGCCCCACTCACCATGGTACAGTACAGTCGCCCCCGCCTTCCCGCTGCGAGGCTCCACCAAAGAAACGAGCCGCCACTCCAGCAAGCTGCGTCTTAGCAACCGAAACCACGCCCCTAAGCCTTCGCGAACAAATAGAGGAATGACGAATCCTGTTATAGGCCTGTATTGGCTCAGAGCGCCGTCTGTCTGTAGACCTTTGTCATGGAAACACCCAGTCTAGGCACTGCATTGAAAAAGTGAGACCGGAATTTCCGATCCTTGCCCGGGAGTTAAGGGGACGTCACCAGTACGCTGCTGGAAGGAAGCATAGACATAGGAAAATAAAGATGATGTCCTACATCCTTTAGGAAGAATACTTCCTAGTTCCTTTCGAAGATTAGCGTCGTCTTCCGCACCTTCCAGACGCAAGTGAGAGCTGCCCATAGAAAACAATATAAACATAAATCATTTTGGAAACAAAGACAGGAGTCTTGGGTTTTCCTCTCTACAAATGAAAAAAACCCGAGTTGTAGAATTCTAATTGTTTAAAAATGACCCTGCCGATGTAAAATGATCCACGCAGACATTGTCTCCATAGTTGCAGGTGGTGACGTCCGAAGGTCTGAACTTAGAACAGTTCTGCTCTCTCTTGTTGTTTAGAAACCTTTGGCTCTTACTGGCTTCACATGCAGGTCTTTTGCGCTTGTGTCGTTTTAGAAGCGCAAACTGCATATTCCCACGTGAAGAAAAAAAAAGTTCGGGTAAAAATAAACGGAAAGTCCCGCCTTCGCTGCTGTCTCTGGGCGGGAGGGCGAGGAGAGAGACGCCCGGCCATCATCCTAGACGCCCCACAGTTCCGAAGTGCTCCGTTGCTGAGGGAAGGAGGGACCTCTCAGAGGTTGATCTCCGCCCGTGTAAGTCTACCTGGAAACGTCTACACGCGGAAGCGAGTCGATCGGAAGTCATTCCACAAGAACAAGCAGAAGGATGAAGGATGAGGGTAGGAGGAGAGGCGTGAAAAAGAAGTGGGTCTGAGGAAGGCGGCTGGTGAGTAGGAGTCGTTTGCCGCTCAGGGGTCCTGTAACGAAGGATTCAACTGCGTTTCTAAAAGCTTTCCTGTGGAGAAACACCTCGAGCCAGTCCCTGTCCAAATTTCACCGCGACTATGTACACGTAGTTAAAAATCGGTTGTCAGAATCTGCTTTCCCCGTAGAAGTGTCGTCTCGCTAGGTATTTACTGGTGTTACAGCTGTTTCACTCAGTGTCAATTGATGGTATTCCGGGGTGAATGCGATATAGAAACATCCAGCGGGGCGGGAAGGTAGCCTTATTCATCTATTTAAAACAAAGAATTGTGACACCTTAAACGAGAATGTGTTTTCTTTGGTCTTAGGGTCCATGGGCTCCAGTCCCCTTTACCAGATGTTTCGAGTCTTCCCCCAATTGACATGTTATTTGAAGATTGTGCATTTCTAGGCTGTAGAGCTAAATTCGGTGTCTTCCACAGTAGCAATATCCTGGAGGGGAAATCCATCGACGTTATGAAGAAACAGAAATGATTTCCCAACCAAGACAACAGCCTAAGCAGTTGATGAAGTGAGGTGTAGTCTGTGAAAGCTACACACAATTGTCAGCTTTTATCCTGGATAAAAATCAAGGTTTTTTTAAAACCAGTTTTAATGCCAGTTTTTTTTAAAAAAATTGGTATTTTTATTTAAATAGTCAAAATATTTTATTTTTACATAAATCAGTATGATTTATTTAAATACACCTGGTGCCACATATTGCAGTATGTGTTATAGCAAAGTAGTTTTAAGATAAAAGAGAACTGAAGGACTGTATGTAACCCCAGAGGTACATAAAAGTACAATACAAAATACCAGGACCAGCCAAAGATGTTATGCTGCCTGAAGTGCAGCCACGGCAGATAGTCAAGTTACATAGTGCCCAGGTCAGTCATGGTATGTTGGCCTGTCAAGCAAAAGTTCCCATAATCACCAATCCACTTGTCAGTTATGAAAAATAAGCCCTGCAATTTTAAAATAAATTACTAATTTTGTTGCTGTTCCTCATATCACAAATCAGCTGCCTGAGGGAACTGCTGTGCTCTTCCCATAACATTAACCCTGCAACTGAACTGGTGATGTGGGTGATTGAAATCCGGAAAAACAAGAAGTAACGTGATAGCCCAATTTAAAATATCTTTTCTCAAATTAAATCCCATTGAGTTCAACTGAGTTGAGCCTATGTATGATTAGGATTGCACACTTAGTCAACTTCCTTTTCCAAATTAATGCACTGTGTGTGGTGTTCAATTGGCTGCTTCCTATAAATTACTGTTGTTGGTCCAGTCTGGAGCTGATGTCATGATATCGAAAAGGCACCTGCGTTGAGTGCTCTTCAGCCAACTATAGGGTCTCTTACTTTTGGCTGTGGAATCTTCTTCAGCTATGCACTCATTTCACATGCTAGTAAGGTTATGCTCAAAATCCTACAAGGTAGGCTTCAGCAGTATGTGAACCAAGAACTCCCAGAAGTACAAGCTGGATTTTGAAGGGGAGAGGAACTAGAGACCAAATTGCTAACATGTGCTGGATTATGGAGAAAGCCAGAGAGTTCCAGAAAAACATCTACTTCTGCTTCCTTAATGAGTACGATGAGGCTGTATATTGTCTCCCTGCTTATTTAATTTATATGCAGAGTACATCATGAGAAAGGCTGGACTGGATAAATCCCAAACCGGAATTAAAATTGCCAGAAGAAATATCAACAACCTCAGATATGCAGATGATACCATTCTGATGGCAGAAAGTGAGGAGGAATTAAAGAACCTCTTAATGAGGGTGAAAGAGGAGAGCACCAAAAATGGTCGTAAGCTCAGCATAAAAAAAAAACTAAGATCATGGCTACTGGTCCCATCAGCTCCTGGCAAATAGAAGGGGAAGATATGGAGGCAGTGACAGATTTTACTTTCTTGGGCTCCATGATATCTCCAGATGGTGACAGCAGCCATGAAATTAAAAGGCGCCTGCTTCTTGAGAGGAAAGCGATGACAAACCTCGAAAGCATCTTAAAAAGCAGAGACATCACCATGCCGACAAAGGTCTACATAGTCAAAGCTATGGTTTTTCCAGTAGCGATGTATGGAAGTGAGAGCTGGGCCATAAAGAAGGCTGACCGCCGAAGAATTGTTGGTTTTGAATTGTGGTGCTGGAGGAGACTCTTGAGAGTCCCCTGGATTGCAAAGAGAACAAACCTATCCATTCTAAAGGAAATCAACCCTGAGTGCTCACTGGAAGGACAGATCCTGAAGCTGAGGCTTCAATACTTCGGCCATCTCATGAGAAGAGAAGACTCCCTGGAAAAGACCCTGATGTTGGGAAAATGTGAAGGCAAGAGGAGAAGGGGACGACAGAGGATGAGATGGTTGGACAGTGTCATCGAAGCTACCAACATGAATTTGACCCAACTCTGGGAGGCAGTGGAAGACAGGAGGGCCTGGGGTGCTCTGGTCCATGGGGTCACGAAGAGTCGGACATGACTTAATGATTAAACAACAACAACTTCTGGCTGTTGAATCTTCGTCAGCTATGTAGGCTTCAAGTAAACTTTCGGGTACATTGGGAGAGACTGATTATAAGTTCCCCTCTTAATCCAAGTTTGCCACTGAATTTGAAGGGAAGGAGATGGGAAATGCAACTGTGTGGATTCTATCATCTTGTACTATCATCAGCAATGGCATATTTCTGAAATGTCTTTTGAAAAACATTGTTGTTCAGTGGCTCTTGTAAAAGCTTTAAAATTTAAAGTGACAAATGTTTTGGTAATTGGTACTGATATGCTTGCCCATGAGACTGCTAACCTTAAGATCTGCATTGTTAAGATGATCAGGTCAGGCCTTTCTCTTGGTCCCGCAACCTTCACAGGTGCGTCTGATGGGGACATGGGAGAGGGCCTTCTCTGTTGCTCCTTCCAGACTTTGGAACTCCCTCCCACAAGAGGCCAAGCTGGCCCCATCTTTATGTACTTCCACAAGCAGGCAAAGACCTTTCTCTTCAGGCAAGCCTTCCGTCAGTGACTGGCTACATGAGTGTGGTTTTGTTTTGCATTACTGCTTTGACAGGGTCTTTAATACTACTTGTGTTCACCATTTCTCAGAGTAGTGTTTATTCCTTTTTAATATTTATATTCTTATTGTGTTAGCTTTAATACTTAATACTGTCTTTTAATGATGTAACCTGCCTCTTTATATTAATTGTTCTTAGCTTTAAATGTTGTATTTTATTAATGTAAAGCACCATTGTACACAGATTGCTTTCTGCTTTAAATATTGTATTTCAATTACGTAATCCAGTCGGGTCCTTTTTAAGGGGAAAGGCGGGGTAAAAATATTTTAAATAAATAAATAAATACATGGTCGCTACAGGCAAGTTTATTCTGTCTGTATTTTGGAGAAGGACAAATAGGAGCAAATCCTTCTGATATACATCCTCATATTTATATTCCCTAGTTTGATTGGACATCCATGTATGGCCTTTCCCATGACAAAGTCAGACACAAGATATTAATCATAAAACAAATCTAACATGAATTTGACCCAGCTCCAGGAGGCAGTGGAAGACAGGAGGGCCTGGCGTGCTCTGGTCCATGGGGTCACGAAGAGTCGGACACAACTTAACGACAAAACAACAACAAGACACTTTTTTGGTGTATGTAATGAGTTTATTATATAGTGATTTCTATGGTACATTTTATTTTGTTACTATGTATTTAAAAATGATATCAGACATAATTATTCAATGTAGAAAAATATTATAAATCCCAAATTACACTTAATCCCTAGGAATTCAGTACAGGGAATCCGGTTTACTGAGGTGTCTCTTCACAACTTCCAAGGGCATGTATGCTTGCTTTTGCCCATTCTGCCCATCTGGTGACTTAACAGAGATTTGGAGCCTTGCTCTTTAAACCTTTTCTGCCCAGAACTCTCTGGTCCAAGTGGAAAGACCAGCAGAGTTGCACAACAGGATTTTAGCTATCAAATTCCAAACCATTTCACATTTCTGGTGGTTGAATAATCTCATTTATATAATCCAGTAAAAATAATGAAAGATGTTGTGAATCTGAAAATTAATCTAGTGAAATACAGTGCTGCATCTACTTTGAATATATTTGTTAAAATGTTATTTAAAATATGGTTACTCTGAACTGGATGTGTCTCCACACTAGTGTGTACACCCAGGCACTTCATGTAGATCCTGGATGAACACTGAAGCTAATCCATATTCTTATTAATTATACATATCTGTGGGTGCTTGAATATAGATAGAAATCTCTTGTTGTACTGGGTCAGTGTGTTGGGACAGCATGTGTCTTATTGATTCTGTACACTGTTCAAGAGAATGAGTGGCTCTCATCTGTGACTGATTGTGATTATTTTTTTTCCTCCTTTTTAAAGGTTTTATATTTCTTCCTTGCATTTGGTCCCATCAACAAAATGACAACTCTACAGAACGGCAGTAAGTGTTCACCCTCCTTCAAAACTAGATGTAGCATCAAGAGAAACATCCTGCAGGTAGTTGTAAAAAGTAAGGCTTTGTTAGAAGCATTGTTAGACAATATCTCCTAGGTCCGACTTTCCTAATATAGAGCCCTCTGTGTCTTATGAATGACAGCTCTATCATCCCTAGCCAAAACAGCCATTGGCTACAATCTAAAAAACTCCTAAAAAGCACCAGTGGTTTTGTGAGAGGCTGGTTATTGTTTGTATTCAGGCGAGCAGCAATGAATATTAAATGTTATCTAGTGAGACGTAGTTGTTCTTGTTTATGCATCACTTGGTGGAACTGAGCACTTAAATGCCTCTGATAATCATTAGCCAGCTATTATTTACATTGGCATTGCATCTAGCCTCCGAGTCTTATGAATGACAGCTCTATCATCCCCAGCCAAAACAGCCATTGGCTACAGTCTAAAAAACTCCTAAAAAGCACCAGGAGTGGTTTTGTGAGAGGCTGGTTATTGTTTGTATTCAGGCGAGCAGCAATGAATATTAAATGTTATCTAGTGAGACGTAGTTGTTCTTGTTTATGCATCACTTGGTGGAACTGAGCACTTAAATGCCTCTGATAATCATTAGCCAGCTATTATTTACATTGGCATTGCATCTAGTTTTATAGTAGGCATTCGTTTTGTGATGGATTTCTAGTTTGGCCATGTTTCAATTCCAAGCTGAAGCCATGGTCCTTCCAAGACCTTTGTAGCTGCTGCTGGTTGTTTTTCTTAATGAAGATCCACAGTGGCCAAAATTCACTTGCTTAGCATAGAGTATGCCCACTTAATCAGTGGAACATATGGAGGAGCTTACTCACCAAATACTTATTAATTCATTGAGCCTACTCTAGGGTGATTTACGGTGCTATGCAACAGGATTTTGGCCAGTGAGTTCCTTCAAAAGGTTACCTCTCTGAGGATGAAATCCAGTGACAACTTTTCTTATTCAAATGTGCTTTTGTGTTAACTTTTCACATTTCTGTACCCAAGCTTCTGGTGAGTATGCCACGTCACGCATCCGTGGACCTGGCGATGGCATGGAAACGGAGCAACCACCAAAATCCATTGAAGTAGGCCATGCTGCAACAAGCAATACCCATCGTAGCCCACACAAGAAAGCTCTTCCTTCACTAAGTCCTGGAGTTCTTCAGCTAGGGAAAGTCTATGGTGATAAGGCCGTGGAGATTGAAGCTGTACGAATATTGGTTCCCAAGGCTGCTATAAACCATGTGGTTCCTACCAAAAATACAAAGGCATCCAAATCTGCAGGACATCTAAAAGAGGCCCTCCCTCTGTCAGATGGAATTTCAGATCCCAAGAAATTGCTGTTGGAGCTAAGAAGTGAAGTAGAGAAGCTCAGGAACTCGGAAAGAAGATTGTTACAGGATAAGGAAGGCCTTTCCAATCAGCTCCATGTACAGACAGAGGTAAGGTGATCCAGTTCATGGTTTCTAGTTAAAGACCAGATACACATATGAAGCAGGTAACTACAAGCTAAGTAACCCAGAATTATGTATTTGCCTTAAGCTGAATTGTTCTGGTAGTGATTGTATGCTTTTTGGGGAAATCTGGATGATTCTATTCCATTTATTCAATTTCTTCTGCCTTTATGTAGATCCATACTAATTCACTCAAAGATGAACACAGTTGTGTTCACTGAGGCTTATTTCCTAATAAATGTGTTTAATACTGTAGCCCAAGTCATGGGGTTCTATATGCAATAGAAAATGAGTGTTTAATGCAAAAAGGGGTGTCAGGTCTAGCAGTAAGAAGTTCGTACTGTTGTGTAAGTTCCACATAACCAGTATTTTGTTAAAATAATTCTTCCTCCATGTCCTCTCCCATAGATAAGCCGTTATATACCAGCCTGGTTCTATTCTGGAATGCTGGCTCTGCAGGCATATAGGTTGATACAATGAAAAACAATCTTTTAAGCCTGTTGGCTGCTTTGTGGAGTTCACTTCTAACTATAGTCATATCAGAAGCAGCCCTAAATATGTAATTGCAGTTGATGTGGCCACTTTAATCTAGGAAATAAGTTATGTGGACGAAATGCAGGTTTTAATAAGCATGTTTCTTTCAAAGTAATTTTGTCTTGTGGTGTTGAATTATGCACACAAAATGAGAGACAGTGTAAGCAGAGTAAACAATATTGATTTACCTTGTTCTGTGTCAGTAAGATTTCCCAATATGTGTGCACTAGCAATTATTGAATCATAATTTTGCCACATAGTTTCCCACTAAGTCTTTGTTCCTCACATCTCCATGAAAAAATGTCTCAGGAGTATAACATTCCAAGTAGTGTGTGTACACTATACTTAATTCTGTCTAGATGTGACTCAGGATCCAGGATGAGGATTGCCTGTACTTGCTTTGAAATGTTAATAGTAGCTGTGTGGGGATGGATTAGCAGATCCCTCTCTTAAGCTACTATTTCTACTGCAAAGGCAAACAAACATACTGGTATTATATGGCTAGTCAATTTGAGTACATGAATTATTCCACATGATGCCAGTCCTTCAGTAACATCTGCCTTGGAGACTTCCAGCTTTGCGACATGAACAGTGCCTACTGGCGTTGTTGAAAGATCAACATGCTGACTTAATTGGCTGTGCTGTTTCGGACACAGTTGACAGAGAGTGGTAGCATGAACACAGTTGTTTCCAGCCAGTTGAGGTTCCAAAATGTTGTGGTGTATGAAAGCCAAAGCCTTTATCTTTTTCATTTATTAACTTTTTTTTTTGTAATCCAAAATAGTGGGTGATACCTTTATTAGAGCACACACACACAAAAATCACAAGCCCTACATTTTGCAGTAATGCCTAAGTGAATATTTCTTAATTTAGGTGTCTGGGATTCTTATTTCAAATGCACAGCTATGTGTTCTAGATGTAAATATTTACTATATGATGGGTACTACCACTGAACACAGCTCTCTTGTCATCTTCCTTAATGTTGAGTAATTGCAACAATAGGTTAAAGGAGACCTGGTCACATTCTTCATTAGTATATGTTCTGATTTCAATTACTAAACAATTCATTTGTTATAGGTCAATCGGGAGTTGAAGAAGTTACTTGTGGCTTCTGTAGGGGATGACCTGCAGTATCACTTTGAGCGCATGGCACGTGAAAAAAACCAGCTGATCCTTGAAAATGAGGCCCTGGTGCGCAACGTGTCTCAGCTGTCTGAACAGTTAGAGCGCATGTCTATACAGTGTGATGTTTGGCGGAGCAAATTCCTGGCAAGCAGGTATTCTGCAGAAGTATCATTTTTAAAATGCTGTCTTGATAGATGATTGTGCCGCTACAGAAGACATGGACAGGTGAACTGTGGCTTTCCAGATAATTTTGGCCTGCAATCCCTATCAGCCCTAGCCACCATAGTCAGTGTGTAAGAGATTGTGAAAGTTGCAGTCCAAAAGCAGCTGGAGGGCCACAGTTGCCTGCATGTGGAATTAGTGGCAACAACTGAAGGCATACTGAGAGTCTGGGACTCTCAGACGAATACACCATCTAAGCAGTTTACCATGTGGTCAAATGTTATTCTTTTAACCTCTGATGTTATGAGTCAGTAGGTCCCTGTAATCACCTGTGTGAAACTAGCATTAAGAAACTGTTCTTAGGGTTTTTCTTTTCTTCTTTTATGACTGTGTTTGTATATGATGCTATAACCCAAATTTCCCTACTGGGCATGGTAGAGACAATCTATAGACAAAGTTGTATTAACCCATGACTGAGCCCCAAGGCTTTCAGGTATTTCTGGCCTCCTCCAGCACATCAGTCTTCCACCCTACTACAGCTGACAGGCCTCAGGTGCCTCAGCAAGAAAAGAATTGACAGGCCCTAGTCCCCGTGGGGCCCCTGGGCTGCAGCCTAGTCAGCCTTATGAATAATACGGCTTTGGCTATAGAGTGACCCTCATTTCCTCCTCAAATGGGAACAAATAGATTCCCAAGGAAAGTTCTCAAGGTAGATATAAATCTGTCCTAAGTTGTTGGAAGACATTCGAGAACCCCATATGGGATAAGGGAAAACTTATTGGGGAGTCATGGTTTGGTGCTTAACTAGAGCTATGTTTGTAAAGAGCCTGAAAAATTGCAGGTGGGGGACATGTCTAAACTTTATTGTCCACATCAAATCCATAGATACCTCAAAGGTGATGTGGCGATGTCACTGGAGATGCCACTGTTGAGGAAGGTAGCTGGCAGAGAGGGACAGGCTTTCTTAATATTGCTGCTCCTCTGTTGCAGCAACAGATAGTACAGCCTACAGTGGCCTACAGCTCATTTGCTGACACCAGTTGATTTCCTTTTCTATGTAAATATAGAGGAATGAGCATGTTACAGGCAGCAGATCTGCATGCTGCTTTTCCTGTTCGTGTTTCTTTCCTTAACATATATTGGCTTGTTTTGCAATCCAAAATGCTACGATCTAGAGTTGGGTGGCAACAATGTCTTCCAGTTAATTCTTGATGAGTAGTATCACCACAACTTTAAAGTAAAAGAGGTACCCACCCAAGACGTTTCTGGAGATGGAACTAACCAAAATTACTCTTCTACTTCAGTATTGTATGGCACTTAGTGGGACTGTAACCTGCTGGCTTTGATAGGATTTCCACAGATAAAAAGCTAAAATTATGCAAGAGATAAGGTGCATAACTTGGACTACAGTAGTGGCAGTTCAAGTCCCAAGTTAGCAAACAAATTCAGAGTTTTTGTCCTTAAGTCACCATATCACCTACCTCACTGGGGCTGTGGTATAAAGTAGGGTGGGCAAAGTGTTGCCCTCCATATGTTAGAAACAGGCCCAGTGTTAAGAGCTGCTAGAACATAATCTAGCAACATCAGAAAGGCAAACTTTTTCCATCTCTTACATAGGAGATGGAAAGGAGGGCATTATGTCTTTCATTGAGCTCTTTCTAGGAGGGGTTGTATGTCATATTAATATATTTTGATTCAAAGTTTATCAACTGAAGTTACATGTCATTTAGTGTTCAATTCATAACAGCAATTCAGGATATAATCCATAAATATCAACAGCAAATTAGCTGCTAATGTCCTGTATAAAACTATTTCAAATTGCATGCCATCCAGTTGATTCTTGAGGCCATCCTTTCTAGAGTTTTCTATGTAGAGAGTTCTCAGCAGCAGTTTGTTTGTTTGTTTGTTTGTTTGTTTGTTTATTTATTTATTTATTTATTTATTTATTTCTATCCCGCCTATCTGGTCATACTAGACCACTCTAGGCAGTTTACCATTCCTTTCTTTTGGGGGCACTCTGGGACTAATGCATCTTGCCTCAGGCTACACAGCATGACCCTTCTTCTGGGAGGCACAGAAGAAAACCAAGTTCCCTCTGACTCCACAGCCCAGGCTACTATCCTACCAGCTATCCTGTATGAATTAAAATATTAAGTAAATGGATCTATTTTACCTGCTTAAGATGCAACTGGCATTTCTTGTTTCTTCAGAGTCATGAATGATGAGCTCACTAACTCCAGAGCAATTCTCCAGCGTCAAACCAGAGATGCGCAAAGTGCAATTCAGGATCTACTAAGTGAACGTGATCAGTTTCGCCAAGAAATGATTGCTACACAAAAGTATGAACATATGTGTTGCTTCCAACCTATGACCATTCATCTTGTTGGAAAGGGATGCAATTTGGCAACTTCTGTCAGTGCCCATTGATCACTAAGTGCTTTGTTTTGTTGGTGGGGGACAGGACATCAAGGGCCTTGTATCACCTTGAACATTTATTGTTGCATAAGCTTTCATGACTAGAGCTCACTCTTATACTTACTCACTATGTGTATTTACTCTATATATTTGCATATTTGTAAACTCAAAATAGTTGAACCAAATTGCCATGACATGCACAAGGTTGATGCGAGGTAATGCAGTATAACCATTCACAGCAACAGTGAGAGGTCATAATGTAGCTCATCAACAAATGAACTTCACAGCCAGGCTCTATTAAACTAGAACATATCACAAAGTCTGATTTAAGCCTTAAGACATTAGGTTGGAACTAGACTCAATTAGCTACACATAATTCCCATTCAAATACTGATTTCAAACACAATTAAAGCATTAATTTCTCAACAGAGTCATTCATCTTCAAACACAAGTAGAGGAAGTTGTGGATGTATGATCCGGTCCTGTACTACCCACTTCCAAACTCCACATGTTTTGGGGGAAGGTCTGGAAAGACATGTGGCATGCTGTGTCACATGGATGAACAAAATTATAGAACTCCATGGGGTCAGAAACCCTGAGAAAGCAGGGCAGCCATTCATTTTCTGTACTGTTCAGGGGACTGTGTTGGCTTTCTTTACTCATGTTGGGGAGAATATGGTTTACATGTAACTAACTTAACAGAATAGTCCTGGGACATTGTCCTGAAATTACAGCAAGGAAAGAAAATCCCTTTCAAGATATTAGGACTGTGTGTAGATAACAGTTCCCTATCATTTCTTTTTCTCTAGTTTTTGACTGTAGCTCCTGTCATCACTTACCACTGGCTTTATTAGTCAGGACTGATGGGAGTTCAAGGGGGGACTCTAAAGAGCCACCTGTCTCTTAGCTCTGACCTTGGAGGGGGAGAACTGATCTTTTGATTTCCTCACTTCCAGACATTATGGAAGCTTGTGCTGTGTCTCCTCTCTCCAGGTTGGAATTCACCCTTTAAAAAGCAAGGGGGAGGGGGGTTGTATTGGGGCTGTGGCAGTACTCAGGATGGGGGACATATGTCTGTTGGATGTACCAGGGCTCTCACTGTTCAACATAGAAGGGATAAAGTCCTGTTACTTATGATGAAATTATTTAAGTCCTGTAGGGCCCAGGACGGGCCAACAAATGGTTGTGTTGTTAGTTCTACCCAAACAGCAATTGCTTAGCAGAGCTTTGCAAAAGTTGGGAGTCTCTCACATCAAAACAATCTGTTGTTAGTGTTGCTGCTGTTAAGGATTGTGATCTGAATCTGTATCCAGCTTACTAGTTTCCTGTCCCATTGTGGTTCTTAATTATCTATAATACTGTTGTGAATTATCAAAGTGCTTATCTTACATATTTGAGCTTTGCACAGAATAATCACAGTGTACATGTGCTGTATTTATTGCAGCTTAGTCTATCTCTTATGTGTCTGAACAAGAAATAGTACTTGCTGAAATATAATATGTCATGAATTTGAAATTTATTTTTCTAGAAATGTTTATACATCTATGGCCAGAAATCCTGTTGGTGTTCATGTGAAGTAATTTGCTGTAGTTAATTGCAGCTAATTGATGAGATGGTGGGGCAGTCTCAGTTGCATGTCTCTTTATGCCCCTGACAGCAACAGAGCTACATCTCAGCACATCATCAATTAGCTGCAGCAGGTAAGTCAAACCTTACACAAACATCAATAGGATTCCAGCCTATTAGCCTTTAAGATACCACAACGGGTTTTAAAGTACGTAATAGGAAATGCACCCATATTCACTGGGTAAGATATGGTCCTGCAGGCTTGATATGGGTTGAGGCCTCCTATACAAACAGAGTATTTTCTCACTGTTTACATTCTCACCAACAAAATTTGAGCCCCTTGAAAATATGGAAGATTGGGTTGAAATAATTCTAACTTAGTTGGTTGTCCTACCATGGTCTCTCTTTCAGTCAAAGGCTGTGTGGATGCTCTAGGTCACTGGTTCTTAACCTTGGGTTACTCAGGAATTTTGGACTGCAACTCCCAGAAGCCTTCACCACCAACTGTGCTGGCTGGGGTTTCTGGGAGTTGCAGTTCAAAAACATCCGAGTAACAAAGGTTAAGAACCACTGCTCTAGGTCACACAACTAGTTTTCTTCATGCTATATTTCCTATCCTAAATTTTAGTCAGAAACTACACATGGCCATCTCCCTGTATCAGCAGCATAATTGTAGCTTTTGATTGCTGCAGTTGTGTGCTAGCCTCCACCTTCCAACCTACTTCAAGCCTGCCTCGCCCATCACTGTTGTTCACATCACCTCTAGGACCAATGAACCTTTTTTTTTGTCTAAAATGTTGATTAAAATCTTTTTTCCCTGTACAGGTTGCTGGAGGAGCTGCTGGTTTCTCTGCAATGGGGAAGACAACAAACATACTATCCTAGTGCACAGCCACATAGTACAGCAGAGCTAGCAGCTGTAAATCATAAACTTGCTAGAGCAGTAACTTCACACCTTCTTGGAAATGCTGGCAATATTAACAGTCCAAAAAAGAATTCTTCACCAACAGAACTCTGCAGTACCCCTGCTGAGAAAATGGCTGAAATGGTAAGCACCCTCAGTTGTAGCCTCACAATTTATTTATTAATTTGTTTGCTCTTCTTTGGAGCATTAAGATGCTGTTTCAAGCACAATTTTGAAAAATGCAAAACATGTCCTTTTTATTGGATGGCCATTATTGCTAAGTCAGTAAGCTTTTATATTTAGCACAAGAGCACATACAGAATCTGAACATATGAATTAATAGTTACAAATTTAGAACTGTCAGTTTACCAGAACTGTGTATTCACTGAAAGTTGCCCCTCTTAAAGAGAGTGCAGCACAATCCTCAACCTACACCATCATGATTGGGCAGCTTATGGACCATTATATATTGTTGGATTCTAGATATCAGTCCCAGCTTGCACAGCCAATGGCTGAGTGTTGGGAATTGCAATCCATCAATATCTGAAAAGCAGCCACCCCATCTTAGAAAGATAGGTAGCTGAATTTTTTCTTATCCACACCTCTACAAGAACAAGTAATGTCCATACCATGTGCTTTTAATATTTCAAAGATGTCTTGTCCTAACTTGTTTGCTTCAAATTGATTTTATTGCAGTTTGTGGCCATACTAAGTTCTGTTTACTCTTTCAAATTAGAAGTCTTTTATTACCCTTTACATTTCATCATCATCACAGAGAATAACCCTTATCTCCTCTCTGTGCAAAAGATACTGCAACCAGGAGTGAAGAATAGGCAGTTCTGCAACCTGAATTGAACTCTTAATCTCTAGAGCTGCTCCATTTAATGTTGAAGCTGTAACACCTCTCCCAGTTCAGCACAGTGTTAGGGATAAGATGACTGCCTCTTCCTGATCAACCTTTACTGCTTTTATTAGATATACAAGAATATTATTGGCAGTGGCAAAAATGTAATAAGTGTGTAAATGTAAAAAAATGTGATGATACTATCGAACAAACTATAACAGAGCACAGACAGAGTTCTGACTCCTGTCCTCTGAAGATGCCAGCCACAGAGACTGGTGAAACGTTAGGAAGAAAAACCTTAAGAACAGAGCCAAACAGCCCGGAAAACCCACAACAACCATAATAAGGCTTTGTTTCATTACAAAAATTCATGATCATATTTCTTTCCAGGTACTAAGAGTGCTAGATCCTGGCACATGTGCAGAAGCATCACCAGACCTTCCTTTTGCTGAGCCTTCAGCATCTTCTTTCCTTTCACCAAAGAAGAACATTGGACGTTTTCACCCATATACTAGATATGAAAATATAACTTTTAACTGCTGCAGTCACTGTCAGGGAGAACTGATAGCTCTTTAAAAATGGTTCAAGTTTAATAGCGAGCTCTATTTTTCCCTTTCTGAGTATGATACTTTCTCAGTGCTCTATATTCACTAGTCTGTGGTTTTTTTTTCCAGATGTGATGGGCTTGTTACACTAGAAATATACTTCTCATAATACTGATGCAGAATGTGTAGCACTTCAGAAATTGTTGGATTGCAGATCCAATCAGCTCTAGCCAGTACAGTGAGATCTGCTGTTCAACAATATTTTGGAAGGCCACACATTTCCTATCCTTGCCATGCAGCCTTCAGGCCTATAAAAGATCTGTGTCCAATCTGATTCTTAACAGAGTGTGCTAGCAATATAACAAGAATGGCTCTCTGAGGCAAATAAGAAAATGTAAACATATGCTCAGTGCTGTACCTAGGCCTATAATTAGAAATTACATATAACTTGTATTTTGAGTATTCTAATAGAAACTCCATAAGCACCATTTGAATTTTTTTCTCATTGAAGAGATACAGATAGATTCTGTTTACTAAAGTATTTATTTCAATTATGACTGATGATGATTATAGTGCTCAAGTGTTTTACAATCTGTATCTATTGCTATTCTGTGAGCTGTTACATGGGCAGTTGTAAATATTTACTTTGAGAATAGCTCAGAGTACTTAGTTGGATAAGCTTTAGATCTCTGAACTAATACAGATAAAAGACTGTGGAGTTAATTTCCAGTTTGAGATTAAATTAATTCTAGAGTGTGTTTCTCTGTTCATACAAAACTGAAGCCAAAGAATAGCAACCAGCTATTAGAGTACCATTGCAAAGGTATTTCTCAGTGACCAGAATCCTGTTGAGTTTGTACAACACAAACCCAAAATTGCATAACCAATTGGCCAATTGTTGCAATTGTCTGTTACACACTCAGACATACCTAGATGATGCACTCAGTGGCACACCTAATCATACAACGGATGGTCAGAAAACTGCAAAGACAGTTACACAATTCCCCTATCATGCACAGTATTTTACAGTAGGGTTCTAACCAGTGGACTGTGAACATCTACAGCACAGATCTTAAACACCCTTAAACATGTATTCCTGGGGACCTTGAATACTATATTTTTTACTATACCTATTGAACATGGTTGGACCGCTTTTGCCTCTACACCTCTATGTATGCAGCTGAAAGGTTCTTTCCTGAAAATAGGCTGAGTGTGCTGCCCAATTAAAAGGCAAATCTTCTTGCCTATATTTCTTATACAGTAATATTTCTAACAGACACATGCAGAAAGCTGCTGTTCCATTATGTACCCAAATATTGGACATGCAGATGGGGGCTGACTCATCCTTTGCTTTTTGAGAGACATGCCAACCCACTTTATCTGAGGTTGTGAGATGACATGCCCATTTCAGGATATATATTTTGGCTATATTGTAGACCTTTACATGGCAGCCATACTATCAGAAGGCAATGATTAGTATTTGCACCATGGCACCAGAGGGGTTGGGGGTCAGGCCTTAATGCCTTAGTGGGTAGCCAATCTAATCAAAGCCCATACAGCAATAATCTTTCCACAGAACACATAGTTCTGACTCCTGTCCTCTGAAGATGCCAGCCACAGAGAAAAACCTTAAGAACACAGCCAAACAGCTCAGAAAACCCACCTAACAGTGAGAGAAGAAAATGAGAGTCTCAGAATGGAATAATAATAATCTAACCAGCAATACAAGCCTTTCACTTTGCCGTACACCTCCAAGAAATGGCTGGCATAATGGCTGCAAGAGAACATTGCATGCTGATCTTGCTGTTTTTTTGCAGTATCCAAAGATGATCTTGGACTTCAGCTTTCACTCATTTTCTACCCTGGTGCCAGGAACTCAGTATACGAATACTGATTTCCCCTATCCTTGGTTCAGACTGCTGACCATCTTATCCCTACAAATGCCAAATGGAATGAGAAAGACCTAATATGATGTTCCTCCATCTCAGGAATACACAGCAGTTCTTTGCTCTATAACACAATTGTACCCAATGCTGTCCATTTGTCTGAACAGAGTATACATGTGTTATTTCATAGTATCACACAGAAATATCTGAGGCAGACATATTTTATTGAAATGCAATAGAATTTTGGCCTGCTCTGCTTTATACTCTTTATAATAAATGTATTTCAAAACATGTAGTTTGGACTGCCTTCAGAGCTGAAAACCTTTTTCTGACTACCACAAGATAGAAATGACAATATAATTAAGTGCTCATTCATCTTAAAATGGTCAATGGTATATATTCATATGAACATTATAAGGAATTAGTACCAAATGGTCTGAAATCTCCTTCAATGCTTGGTTTTTAATAAACATGAAATTTTTTGGAGGAAACAAATGGTTGAAGATGCATGCATATACAAAAGTACAAGAAGTGTTTTTTAAGACAATGTATACTGTAGTCACCAGTTGCTGCCTTATTTCTACCTACTTTCATTGGTGCTTAATTTTAGTTCTTTGACTTTAAATATTTGCCCATTGATTCTGTACTGAGATGTCATTTTTTAAAAACATGATTTCTTATAACAATAGCTCCCCCCAAATGAGCAGAAAATGCTTCTTGAAAAATGGTGTGGATATTCTGAATTCCACTGAGGGGTCTTTCTGAGTTGGTGATGCAGTTGTCACTTTCCAATGCTTTATTTGAGGTGGGGAAGGAACATAACAGACCGTGGGCAGAACTTTGATACAGTGTAGCAATGAATAGGAATGTGCCTCAAACTAGATATCCATCCAGCATTAGTGCTGTTTACCAACACCATGGCATGTGCTGTGATAAGTTGTGGAAAACATTGACATTATTCTCAAAAATTAATTATTTACATTGCAATTACCACACAGGTGTTTATTCTGATTTATGTTTTTTAGAACCATTAATACAATCTTGACCCATTCACAAATACAGAATTACTCCAGGTTTAAAAGGGGAACAGATTAGTAAGACTGAGAAAATTAAACCATTATTAAAGGATTATGAAACATACCAGAAGTGAAGCTACTCCCAAAAGGCAGCCAACTCAAGCTGTACAAGATAGTGTGAAGGACATGTGAATCACCAGGTGATTCTAAGCCTCAGCTATACTGGTCTGTGAAACGAAGACATCTTGGTTCAGAAATTGAACAAAGAATATTCTCTATTTGTTTCGCTCTTCTGGCTTCCTGCCTAAACTGCTTTGATCGCTCTTTGGCAGCTAGCTGCTCTTCCCGCTTTTCTCTTCTTTTCCTCCTCAGCCATCTGCAGAGAAATAAAATAGTCTGAGTGAATTACCAATATGTATGGCGTCACGAAGAGTCAGACACGACTAAACGACTAAACAACAACAACAATCGATTTCCTTTGGTTCTTAACCAGAGTTCTAACTCTGTTCCCTCAGCCACCTAAAAGCAGATCAATTTTTAAACCTAAAATAGTTTAGCACTCTCTAGTACTTTAATCTGATAGCGCCATTCATCTTCTTTTGCTCCAGTCTCAAGAGAAGAATGAATTTCCGTTCACTATTAAAAGCAATCTATCGACTGCAAGTTTAGAGTGTGAAGTTTTAAAAAAATGTTATTTGACAGTTTTCTGTGTTCCCAAAACTTTCTATAGTATGCAGATATGTGTGTCTCATATGAGTGAGGATATTTTGAAAGGTTTTGGGAACACAGAAAGGAAAATAATCACTTTCTGGTAGAGACAAAGGTCTTCCTTTTTTGCTTTCTGGAAGCAAATTAAATTGCTCAATAGTGAATAGAATGTTTCCTTTTAAAAAATAATGGGAGGGCAGAATCACCCCAGAAACATACTGTTTAAAAGCTTTGTCATTTTCCATTGCTCTTGGAAGGAAAAACATGCACTCTTCCTGTTGTTTCATATTTTGCATTTCTTTTTCTTTAATTTGTTCTTGTTTCTTTTTCTTAAGCCATGACCTGAATGCTTCTTCTGGATTTCTACTTTCCTGCTATTTAAAAGAAAAACACAAGCATTTACTCTTGTTTTCAAAATTAGGGAAACATACAGCACATAAGTTAATGCAAATAAAATAGAACATTAGCAACCTGATTGCAAATATTTTACCGGGTAGAATATTTTGAGGCAAACCTTATCATCATATAATTGAACCAGAAAGCATTTAGATTTTTCATACATGTCCCCAATATATGCACAGCTAGTTTTTAAAGAAGAACCACAGCAGGAAAACAATTCAAACTAACAAGACTGGGCTGTGAAAAGGAAAACAGACTTGGAATAGATTTCTTTGGAATTCTGTCTCCTAGGCTTTTGAGCCCTGAGTTTGAAAACAGGTGTGTTGTGCTGGGACTTCCCAGAAAAGGGAAGACAATATTTAGTGTCCAGAAAAAGACCTGCACCAGATTCACATTTATAAGGTTCAGTGCTAATCCCCAGACGGCAACTCTCAGAAATCCTGGCCAGCACTGATGAAGGCTTCTGTGAGTTCCAGTCCCAGAATATATGGGGACTCAAGTTTGGAAACCACTGGATTCGAACAAGTACCAAACTCTTTCAAAATAAAATGTGGTATGCAACTACAACTGCCACAAAAGACATTTTAGTGATATTTGGCAGCATAGCTAACGGTGTCTCACTGTCTGGTTTTCCAATTAAGCAGAGCACAGCAAGGTAATAGGTATGGAAATGATGACTTACTCTGGTGTTCAAGTCTTCCAGCTCTTTTGCACGCTGAATTCTTCTTTCATCTTGCATTTGTTCTTTTTTCTTCTGTAACCAAGCTCTGAAGACCATGTCATTCTCTTTCCTTTTCTGTTCCTCCATTACTCTTTTTCGTATTTCTTCCTTTCATTAAAATGTTAAAATTAGAATATTTAAACAATTTCATCCAAAATTCAACAAGGAAATAGAGCATTTCAGAGAGGAAGTAGTATACTTTGTTTAAATTATATTATCCTGTTCTTTAAAGAAGCATACAAATACCATTATCTAATAATGCTAACTAAATTCCTAAATTCCATACCTATTACTCTGGGATCAAATCCAAGCCCCTCAGTATAGGCTGCACCTGGCCTGGAGATGGTCATTTTTTAAAAATTAAACAATAAATACCTGAATATGCACATATGTTTCTTTTGGTTGTCTTTTGGGGGTGCGTAGGGTGTGTTTGGGGACCCACTCCAATCCTCATGAGTAGAGATGAGGACAACTCACCATTCTGGCAAGTCGTCTTGCTTCGTGAGTCGTCAAAAGTTGACAACTCACGAAGCACAAAGTTGCCCCCATGATGAATAACAAATATATTCATCGATTCAGGGCGTGTTACTAAAAACACACGTATTCGTCGATTCAGGGCGTGTTACTAAAAACACACACAGACATCCCGCTGCCACTGCCTTGCCAGCACGTGAACCCTGGGCCATGAACACAGTTTTGGCTGTAGTACATCTATTTGACCACTGTACAATGGGGGTCCTTCTTACAGCTCTTCTCCACAAAGTTTTTCTACATGAATTTTCAAAAATTTTGGAAGAAACCAAATTTGGCGGTGGATGATACTGGCAATTATAAGCCAGTAGCCAATGTTTCTTTCCTTAGTAAAATGATGGAGAGTGTGGTGACCAACTAGCTTCATGTTCTTTTGGATGAAACTAATGCCCTGGATCCATTCCAGTTGGGCTCCAGGCCGCACCATGGTACAGAAATGGCACTGGTCGCCCTGCTGGATGACCTGTTGAGGGAGGCCAACGGGTAAAACATCTTTGTTGGTCCTCCGCGGTATCTCAGCCACCTTTTATAAAGTCGACCACAGTATCCTCCTGAGAAGGCTCCCCAAGTTGGGAATTGGTGGTCTGGCGCTTGCTTGGCTCCGATCCTTCTTAGAGGACTGTCCTCGGAGAGTACAGCTTGGGGAGAGTGTTTTGGCCCTGTGGAGTCTCAATTGTGGGGTTCTGCAGGGCTCGATTATCTCCCCAATGCTGTTTAATATCTATATGAGGCCGCTGGGTGGGGTCATCAGGGGGTGTGGGGCATCGTGTCATCAGTATGCTGATGACACTCAGATCTACATCTCCTTTTTTCCAACCACAGTGGATACCGTTCTGTCCCTTCAGCATTGTCTGGAGGCTGTAATGCAATGGATGCAGAAAAATGAGCTGAACCCAGACAAGATGGAGGTTCTGAGGGTGGGTGGCCCCACCATTAGCAGTTTGGGAAACTCACTCTCTTTTGGGGGGTGACTCTCACCGCGAAGCATGAGGTTCGCAGCTTGGGGTTTCATCTGGACCCGGCGCTCACCATGGAAACCCAAGTGGCGTCAGTGGCCCGCTCTGCCTATTTCCATCTGTGGTGGATTGCCCAGCTGCGCCCCTATCTTGATATTGAGGCACTCACCACTTTGGTCCATGTGCTTGTAATCTCGAGATTAGACCACTACGTGGGGCTACCTTTGAGATTGATGCGGAAGCTTCAAATGGTGCAGAATGTGGTGGCCAGACTTCTCAGTGGGACAAGAAAATATCACCATATTTCCCCCACTCTGGCTGCCTTGCATTGGGTGCCCGTTTGTTTCTGCATTGATTTCAAAGTGTTAATGATTACATATAAAGCCCTAAACGGTTTAGGACCTCAATACCTGGCAGAACGCCTCCTCCCACCTAAATCTACTCGAATCACTCGCTCTAGCCAGGAGGGGCGGCTGAGGGGCCTAACGCCGAGGGAGGCATGGAAAGAAAAAACAAGAAACTGGGTCTTCTCAGCAGTGCCCCCCCACACCTTTGGAATAGTCTCCCCTCCGAGATTCTCTTGGCCCTTTCGCTGGGTATTTTCAAAAGCCAACTCAAGACCTGGCTATTTAGGCAGACCTTCCCTCCGGTCACTATCTGATTTTTTACCTTTTCCATCTTGAATGACATTCTTTGTTGTTAAATTGTTGTTTGATACTATTTTATTGTTTTTAGTCTATTTTATTGTGAGCTATCCAGAGTAGACGCTGGGAACATAACAGAATTTTCAGATATAATTAGAATATTAAAATGAAATCACGTGTTGTGGAACACACAGGGTTGGATTCACATGTCATGCATGGAAATGACACAATGAAATCAATTGCATTTCATTTAGTCATGACTGACTCATACATTTCAGTGGGTTTACTCTCAAGTATGACTAAATCTGGATACTACTCATTAGTGACTAGCCTATGAAAGTACTATCAGAGATGAAGAAATACCCATTTACTGAGATAACATTTAAAAAGGATTAGACAGATTGCATAAAAGATAATGTACAGGCTATTAGCCATGACACCATTTACTAGTGGTGCCAGTTTGTTTCTGGGCAAAATTCAAGGTATTGATGCTAATTTATAAAGCCCTTTACAGTTAGGACCTTGCTATCTGTACCATTCACATATCCCAGTCTTTAATGTTGTGGGTGGCCACTCCAAAAAAGGCCTCTGGAAAGCATCAGTCAGAACTGGGCCTTTTCAATAGTGGCTGCTCTCCTCTTCCTGTGGTGGTGCGACTAGATCCCACCCTCTTGAGCTTCCACAAGCAAATTAAAACCTGACTTTTTACCCGTGCCTTTCCAAGCACCACCCTTTCGTAAAATTATGCTGGCCTGTTGCCTGCCATCTTATGTCCCAGACTGGTGATTTTATGGGGCAGAGGGTTCTGTTTGTTTTCTATTAATATGTTTTTCATATTTTTAGCTGTATGGTTTATAATGTTTTGTAAATGACCCAGAGTAGTGGTATGCTCACTCACTAAATGGGTGGGGTATGTATGCATGCATGCATGTATAAATATATAAAAAAATAAAAAATATTAACAAGAGCACAGAATCAATAAGGCATGTTACTCAAATATCTGTATATTCCTACTCACAATTCTAGTGATCTGCTCATCTCCTTTGTACTCTTACCTCTTTCCTTAATTTTTCTCTTCTTTGCTCCATTTGTTTTTGTAGTTCCTTTTGCCTAGGTGATAGGCAGTATGTAGAACTCCTCATACCAAGACCGACATTTGCAGACTGTACCCTGCGTGGACTTTTCCCCCTTTCAGTGTTTCTTATAATGTTGATGGCTGAACTTGGTCGAATGGATGGTGGTCGAGGGACATAAATAAAGCCTTCTCGGGAAGGAGAACAAGATTTTACAGGTGTTTGTAGCAAGGACTCATCATTTTTAATACAGATAGTGCCAAAAGAAGTACTGTAGGAAGCTTTAGGAGAAATGTGTTGAGTTTCAATGTCAGTAAAAGAAACACTTAGTGGAGGAAAGAAGCCTTGGCTCTCAATATCATGAATACTCAGGAGTTCAAATTTCCCATCTTTTTCTACTAGGATCTTGCCATCCTTGTGTTCATCATCTCTCCCACCATTAATAGAAAGAGAAAAATCTTCCTGTCCTGCATCATTAGAAATATGCAACTGTGACAGTCTACCTGAAATGTTTCTTTCCCTGTGAGGGTCACTTTCATCAGCTTCTACAGCTTTCAGAGATGGAACTTCAAGATCTACCAAATCATCCTTGAATTTTAGTTTCCTTTCTTTTGTTTCATCCAGAGGTTCCTGATATAACAGAAGTTTGTTGGCTTCTTCTATTTTTTCTAAGATGTAACGCTTTATATCTTCATCATCCTCCACGTCTTCCTGGTCAAACTTTGATTCCTGACAGGAGTTTTCACTGTCAGTATCAGATGCCTGCTCCAACAGCTTCATATCATGTTCAAATATAGAATGTATTTCATTTTGGGACCTTTCATCCTTCAGAACTTCCTTCAGTTTAGGAGATTCTTGTGCTGAACTTCCATCTTCATCCTTCAAGATTTCTTCAGGGTCAAGAGACCCTTGTGAAGAATTTATTCTATCTTCTCTACCTCTTAAGTCTTTGTCAACACTAGTTTCCACATTCTCTTCATTGTCATCATGATTCTATGAGGAAATTAAAAGTGCCTATTTATATAACATCTAAGAGGAAACATACATACAGTAGTAAGTCACTGAAATGTCTGGGGACAATTTACAGAGTTTTTAAGACAACATTTCTTTCCACAGTAGCCAAATAAAAATGTAACCGCTCAGTTTGCATCTATGTAAAAGCATAATTCTAAAAAACAAACAAGCAAGCAACAAGAACAAAACAGCCAGCAAGGTGTAATGCCTAAAAAGTGAAACGACACACAAGTAATCTTGGTTCTATTTCCCACTCAGCTGTGATGCTTTGCTGGATGGCACTGGCCCTTACTATAGGACATTCACCTGAAACATTCATAAACCTAAATCAGAAAATGGATATGGGGACATGCATGCAAACCCCGTCTCCAACATCCCCAAACATATAACCACCTTTGAGATCTGCACTCATTTAGTTGAATGCACCTGCAGCATTACTAGCATTTGGAAAACCCAGCTATCAGTTATAAATATATTGAGCCAAATGTGCTTACAACCTTGTCCTTTTGAATCATTGCATTAAATGTTCAGAGATCATTTCAGTATTCATACACATAGAGACATAGCCCAAATGTGAAACTTTATCTCCTTGCCTAATTAATGTAATTTGTGCAGCTGGTTAATACCTGCATAGATATATTTCCCTATGTAATGTACTTTGCATAGTTCTTGAGAGGCTAAACACATTTAAGCACAATGGCTGAAATCCTACTGCGTAGTTATGCAGTGTAACTTTCAGAAGATAATTGCTGTAAGTTAAGAAATCTCTGTAGCCATTAGCTGTTACATACTAAGTCACATCATTTGGCATGAAACAGATAATGTCTACAGAGCAATTTGCATCTAAAATTTACACTGTTTGTGTATCTGCATAACAGAATTTCAGCTACAGCCACAATACAGGTGACATGTGTACATATGCACCTCAAATTTAGGGTAACAATACTGTTCATGTAAATTAAATTAATTTTTAGTATTCATTCTTGTTGAAATCTTTTCAGCATTCAGAACATTTTTCCAAAACTAGTAAATCAAAGGAACAAAAGGCTAGTAAAAACACTAGACACTACAGGAAGCTAAGCAGGACAGAGAAATGTTGTTCTCATTAGCCTTACTAAAAGCTCTGACATTACTTTCTGAATCTGTGAAGATTTTATTTTACATTTTTAAATTAACCTCAAGATTATCTGTTGCAGGCTATATATGCAGAATGTACATCACCCTATGTAGGCTTCTAGTAGAACTGAACACCTTGCAAAATAAAACCAAACATGGCTATATAAGTCCAATGCTCAGTGCTCCTATTCCAGTTTGTATAATCTGAGATAAAGAGCCAACACCTAAAATTCCTCAATTGAGATATATTGTTCCACCAACCAACAAATTCTGTTTAATTTTGAGATAAAACTCTTTTCATCTCATCTTTTCCTTGTGTGATTCTGAAAATTTTGTAATTTGCGTGGAACTATTGTTATCCAACTTAAAAACAACACACATTTATCCAAACATATATCATTAGTCTAGAAATGTCTAGATTTCTACAAATTTAGGTGTGTCTATATTACTAATTTTTTTGCTTTAAAAAGATCTATTTTTAAAAGCACTATCCTATGCATTTAACCACAGTACTCAGCAACACATTTCGCATTAAAATCTCAGGTTGGGAACCAAACAACTTCATACACATTTTGACCTTTTGGATACATCTACAGAATACTCTCCTACACTGCAACATTATGCAATGTCAATCAAGATGCTCCCCCAAGTTTACAGTGGCTTAATCCCTCAGCAGAGAAAAAACTAGAAGGAATTCTGTATTACCACCTATGCTCAAAAATATTTTAACAACCATAAAAGTACTAGTTTTCTAGTAAACATAATTTATAGCCACATATTTTAAAATACAATTTAGATATCAATATAAGATTGTCACATAGTATTTTATGAATACCTGTATATCACTAGATATTCTTTTTTCTTCTTCATTAATTAGCCACTCAAGGTCTTTTTCAAAATCATCCTCATAATCTCCACCTTCTGTGGAATCTCCAGAGTCTGTGGATTCAGTAGTGTCTTTCTTGTCACCCATTGTGGATGTTCCTTAAAGTAAAGCTACAAAATGATGAAATATATGTTTGTATTTCCCTGAGTATTTTGGGAAGTAAGCAGCTTGATTAACAAAATAACATAACTCTGAAGAATATGCCTAAATACACTGAGGAGTGGTAACATGGGTCTACAAAACTGGATTTTTAAAATTAATAGGAAATCCTTTGAAAGTCAGGTAAAAATATAAGAAATGCCAACCAGTTTTTTTAATGAAATATATCTTTGCACGGTAGTTAGCTATAGAAATGACTACCATAAAATTCAGCAGTGGCCACAAGTAGAGACAGACGACTTGACAAATTCATAGAGGATGGTACTATCAGTAGTTACAATTTATAATCTATACATATTCCCTCCAGTACCAAAGCCAGTATGCTGGGAAACATAAGAAGGTCACTGTTTCACACACACCCTGTATGTAGTCTCCCATGGATAGCTGTTTGGCCACAGTATAAACAGAATATAACATTTCATTGGCCTTTGATTGATTGATTGATTGATTGATTGATTGATTGATTGATTGATTGATTGATTGATTGATTGATTGATTGATTGATTGATTGATTGATTGATTTCTATACCACCCATCTAGGATGTGTCTACTCTGGGTGGTTTACATATAATATAAAAATAAACTAAGATAAAATCCAGATTAATCCAAGATGGGAAAGGAAAAAAAGAGGGGGGAAAGAAGAGGAAGGAGAGAAAAGAAAAGGAGATAGGCTAGGTAATAGCTGTAAGGAAGACCTGCCTGTATAGCCATGTCTTCAAGCTAGTCTTGAGGGAGCCAGGCAGATCTCAAGAGGTAAGTTGTTCCAAAGGCCACTGCTGAGAAGGCCCAATTTCTGGTCTTTTTCCACCACGCCTCTCTTGGCGTTAAGGCCTCTCAGCCGCCCAGCCTGACTGGAGCAGGTGATACAGGTAGAACTGGGCGGAAGAAGGCGCTCTGCCAGGTATCGAGATCCTAAACCGTCAAGGGCTTTATATGTGATTGTTAACACCTTGAAATCAGTGCAGAAGCAGATAGATAGCCAGTGTAAGGCAGCCAAATTGGGGGGGAAATGGTGAAATATTTTCACCCCTGTTTATAGCCTAGCTGCTGTGTTCTGGACCATCTGAAGCTTCCGCATCAGTCTCAAAGGAAGCCCCATGTAAAGAATGTTACAGTAGTTTATTCTTGAGACTATGAGTGCATGGACCAGTGTGGTGAGTGCCCCTGTGTCTAGATAGGATGCAACTGGGCAATCCGCCAAAGATGTAAGTGGGCAGACCAAACCACGGACGCTACCTGGGCCTCCATAGTAAGCGCCGGGTCAAGATGGACCCCCAGACTGGGAACTGAATTCTTTGTGGTAAGAGTCACCCTCCCCCCAAAAAAGAGAGGAAGTTCCCCAAACCGCTGACATCAGGACTCCCCACCTGCAGGACCTCCATCCTGTCTGGGTTCAACCTTAGTCCATTCAACTGCATCCATTGCAGAATGGCCTCCAGACAGCACCAAAGGGACGGAACAGCCTCCACCGCAGATGGAAAAAAAGAGATGTAGAGCTGAGTGTCATCAGCATATTGGTGACACGAAGCTCCACATCTCCGAATGACCCACTCACCCCCAATGGCCTCATACAGATGCATTGGGGAGATGATCAAATTCTGCAGGACCCCACAATTGAAGGACCACGGGGCCAATACATTGTTCCTAAGCTGCACTCTCTGGAGATGGCCTTCCAAGAAGGACGAGAGCAAAGTGAGAGCAAGGCCATGAATCCCTAACTTGGAGAGCCTCCCCAGGAGGATATCATGGCTGACGGTATCAAAGGCAGCTGAGATATCAAGGAGGACAAGCAAGGACATTTTGCCCCTGTCGGCCTCCCTAAGTAGGTCATCCAGCAGGGCGACCAATGGCATTTCTGTGCTGTGGCGCGGCCTGAAGCCCAACTGAAACAGAGCTAGGGCACTAGTTTCATTCAAGAGAGCCTGAAGCTGGTCGGTCACCACCCTCTCAATTACCTTGCTGAGAAAATAAACATTGGTGATGGGCCTATAATTGCCAATGTTGTCCACTGCCAAGCTTGGTTTCTTTCTAATCGGCCTAATGAGCATTTCCTTAAGGACAATTTATGTAGATTTTATTCATTTTTCTTCTTATATTCCTAGTTCTTGGTCTTTGACAATCATAATTTCTATCAAGAACCGTCCCATTTTTATCTGATTGTCAGTAATCTAATTGTTAACCCCAAACAGAATAATTCCACAGACTGAATGTCATTCATTAAGTCAACGCTTATGTAAGTCCCACTGGTGCAATGAATCTACTCTTGGTAGAAATAAGAATTGGATTTAGCTTCAAAAATATATCAACTGCTAGTTATACATATTTATAAGGCAAAGCCTATAATTTTTCTTTCTTACTCAGACATAAGTATTCACAACAAAAATAAGTGAATATGTGAGTTAGGTTGTTACGTGTTGCATGAGTGTTAATGATGACAAACAACCCCACCATCTTATGCATTTCTATTCAGAGATAAAATCTCACTAAATTAAAAATTACTTATTCTAAAGTATGCATCAAGTGATACTGCCTCTTTAAAGAAAAATCTGAACAATAAAATATATGGAAGAGTGAGTGACCAAAAGGCACTCTCAGGTGCTGCTCGAGCTATACAAGCAAGTCTTAAAGGGGCGAACAACAACACTCTTTCAGTAAACCTTCTCTTCGGTTTTCTGGTTTACCGAAAAGACCTCAGATCTCCTTAACCCACCAGCGAGATTTTCCGAGGGCATCGATGTCTGTCTGGGGGTGGCTAACAGCTGCTGAGAAGGATTATATAGCCTCTCCCAAGAACAAGGCACCAGCTACAGTACTAGCGACCTATTTTTACGACGGGGCTCGCTAAGCCCCCTGCAGCGCTCGGCCCCACAAGCGGGCAAGGCCTCCACGCCTGTCGCCATGGCAGCCGCAGCCACCTCTTCTTCCCCCTCCCCAAACGAGGCGCCTCTGGGCTGCTCCCGGCTGAAACAGCCGCGCGCCCTGGATCCTGAGGCAGCATTTACACACACACACCCCTCAGAAGGGACTTGGCACAGTCCGCTCCGCAGTCGGCCTCCGCCTCCGCACTCTACGCCGGAGAAACCAAGCCGGCACTTAGGGTGGCGCCTGCCACCACTCCAGTTGCTGCTGCGGACGGTGAGATGGTTTGCTCTGACCTCCTAACCGCCCCTCGAGCCGCCGCACGCACACACACACCCCTCGCTAAGGCCCTTGGTGGCCTCCCGCCCTACTTCTCCTTCCGCTCGTCTCCACCTGAGAACTCCGACCGGCAGCGGCCCGCCCGCCATGGCATTGTCATGGTAACCGCTGCACGCACCGGCATCATCCCGCCATCTCTCGGAGCGATATTTTTTCCCCCTGCACACCACTCACCAAGCACCGGAAGACGGCGGCTGTCAAGGTCCAAACCGGTCCGCTCTCCCTCCGCGCCAAGCTTCCCGTCGCCATAACAACCGGAGGCAGGGTGATCTCGCGAACGAAGCTTCTTCCGGCTCTTGCCGTTGCCATAGAGACGGCCGGAAATGGGCGAGGCCGGGCATGGGTTTTTCTTTCTAATTTGCCCGTGAGAGTCAGGCAAATGTGAGCTTCTAGGAAAAACTGGTGGAAAGAGGAAGGCGATGGCTCTTGTAGATGTGACATATATAACATGATTGCTTCGACTACCATCTCCTGAGGACTAGTTACCCTATTCGTTCATTCTTCCTCTGCTGTCTATAGCGCCTGTGTCCCGAATACACTCCTGTACTGCAGTGAGTCCTGGACCCTTTGTGCATGGTAGGAGAGGAAGTTGAACACAATCCATATGCGTTGTCTCTGACGCATTTTTGGTATCACCTGGCAAGTTAAAGTTCCAAATAGAAACTTGTCCTAGGATGAACTGGAACTGTTAGCATGCACATATACATTACTGAAACAGCGATGTCTACATGGGCTCGGGCATGTCATGAGAATAGCTGACGGTTGGATTCCAAAAGATCTCCTGTCTGGAGAATTAGTGCAGGGAAATCGCCCCAGAGGGAAACCACAGCTGCGATACAAGGATATGTGCAAGCGGGATCTGAAGGCCTTAGGAATTGACCTCAACAGATGGGAAACCCTGAGTGTCCAGCATGGAGGCAGGCAGCATGGCCTCTCCCAATTTGAAGAGACACTTGTCCAGCAGGCCAAGGCAAAGAGGCAGTCCCGAAAGCAGCAAAATCAGGGAGCTGGACAGGGGACAGATTGTATTTGTCTTCAGTGTGGAAGGGATCGTCACTCTCATATTAGCCTTCTCAACCGTACTAGGTGCTGTTCCAAGACCTCTATTCAGAGCACATTACCATAGTCTCTCGAGACTGATGCCTACACCGTCTGCTGTGTCAGCTTTGATCTGTGCCAACCTGCTAGGAGTCCAGATTTGTAACTGTCTAGCCAGACAGCATTGGTTTTTGCTTTCCCAATATGCTTAACCCCCCCGTCACCACATTATAGTGTGCTTTCAAAAGAGATGGAAGATCTCTATCTTGTTCCTCATTGGTCTACCTTGGTTTGGGTAAATTGTTCAGTTCAGAGGGGTAAATCCTCCTGCTGGAACCTGCTAAAGTCCACAATTACCTATCACCAAAATCACCACGACAGCCATAAGGTATTTCTTCCCCCTTGTTTTTTAACGTTCAAATAAGCAAATGCAGCCCAGAAGCATTGTTTCTGCCATAGACAAGATATGCAGTGTGCAAGCAGTGTTTACAAGACTGCTAGTTCTCCAGGAGTGTTATTAGCCCCTGAAGGAAAGCACACAAGCCATACAAGCTTTCAAGAAAATGTTTGAAACACAGATACAACAGTTTTTAACCAGTGCTGGGACTGAATACACTTGCTACAAAAGTTGGTAAGGGGTACATATGTAGACCTTGTGCTGTCTTGTTTTGGGCCATCAAGTTCCATCTGATGTACAGCAACCCTAATAGGGTTTTCAGGGTACTGAGATACTGAAGGAGTGGTTTAACCAAAATTACACACATCTCCATAGATTTCCATGGTCAAGCAGGGATTTAAACTTCTGAGCCATAGTCCCTCCCTCTATCCACTAGTACTGTACATCACACTGGCTTTTCCAGTACAGTATGTGTGTGTGTTAAGTGTGTGTTCTACACCTTTTCGCTAGATGGGATTAAGAACTGCAAATAAAATAGAAACCAAGAAGCAACTCATGCATATGGTTGGTATCAAGTGACAGCATTGCTAAGCACCAACTGATGTGTCGCTAACATCAAATTGTCTCCAACTCCAATCAACCTATATCAAATACAGTAGTCATTATTTAATTTTATGGTATGTACTGGGACATATTTTAGCTTTATCTTTGAAAGATGAAGAATAAAGTGCTGGAACAGCTGCACAAGCAACTGAAACTTTTGCTGGAGCAGAAATATTTAATATTAGTAATATATCTGGACACGGTATCATATGATACACATAATCTAGATGAGCTCTAGTATGTTAACCACCTTTGGCATAACTTTGGACCAAATCTGGAAATGTGGAAAAAAGAATCAATTTTCCTTTTCATTGTACCAACAGTTGAGAATCCTGCCAAGGCATTCAAAACACTTGTGTCAATATGTTGTTGTTGTTTAGTCGTTTAGTCATGTCTGACTCTTCGTGACCCCATGGACCAGAGCACGTCAGGCCCTCCTGTCTCCCACTGCCTCCCAGAGTTGGGTTAAATTCATTTTGGTCGCTTCGATGACACTGTCCAACCATCTTGTCCTGTTGTCGCCTTCTCCTCTTGCCTTGGTATGTGTCAAATACCATTAGGTAAAACCAATAGTATCTAAAACAAAATTCCAATATATTCCTACTTAGTAAGAGTGCTTAGGTCCACCATATACGTATGTCCCTTCCAGAACAAAAAGCGACAAGCAGTTTATGCAGTTGATTCCACTGTTCAATTACCATAATGTCATCCTCTCGAGACTGATGCCTACACCGTCTGCTGTGTCAGCTTTGATCTGTGCCAACCTGCTAGGAGTCCAGATTTGTAACTGTCTAGCCAGACAGCATTGGTTTTTGCTTTCCCAATATGCTTAACCCCCCCGTCACCACATTATAGTGTGCTTTCAAAAGAGATGGAAGATCTCTATCTTGTTCCTCATTGGTCTACCTTGGTTTGGGTAAATTGTTCAGTTCAGAGGGGTAAATCCTCCTGCTGGAACCTGCTAAAGTCCACAATTACCTATCACCAAAATCACCACGACAGCCATAAGGTATTTCTTCCCCCTTGTTTTTTAACGTTCAAATAAGCAAATGCAGCCCAGAAGCATTGTTTCTGCCATAGACAAGATATGCAGTGTGCAAGCAGTGTTTACAAGACTGCTAGTTCTCCAGGAGTGTTATTAGCCCCTGAAGGAAAGCACACAAGCCATACAAGCTTTCAAGAAAATGTTTGAAACACAGATACAACAGTTTTTAACCAGTGCTGGGACTGAATACACTTGCTACAAAAGTTGGTAAGGGGTACATATGTAGACCTTGTGCTGTCTTGTTTTGGGCCATCAAGTTCCATCTGATGTACAGCAACCCTAATAGGGTTTTCAGGGTACTGAGATACTGAAGGAGTGGTTTAACCAAAATTACACACATCTCCATAGATTTCCATGGTCAAGCAGGGATTTAAACTTCTGAGCCATAGTCCCTCCCTCTATCCACTAGTACTGTACATCACACTGGCTTTTCCAGTACAGTATGTGTGTGTGTTAAGTGTGTGTTCTACACCTTTTCGCTAGATGGGATTAAGAACTGCAAATAAAATAGAAACCAAGAAGTCGCTAGATAGGATTAAGAACTGCAAATAAAATAGAAACCAAGAAGCAACTCATGCATATGGTTGGTATCAAGTGACAGCATTGCTAAGCACCAACTGATGTGTCGCTAACATCAAATTGTCTCCAACTCCAATCAACCTATATCAAATACAGTAGTCATTATTTAACTTTATGGTATGTACTGGGGCATATTTTAGCTTTATCTTTTAAAGACGAAGAATAAAGTGCTGGAACAGCTGCACAAGCAACTGAAACTTTTGCTGGAGCAGAAATATTTAATATTAGTAATATATCTGGACACGGTATCATATGATACACATAATCTAGATGAGCTCTAGTATGTTAACCACCTTTGGCATAACTTTGGACCAAATCTGGAAATGTGGAAAACAGAATCAATTTGCCTTTTCATTGTACCAACAGTTGAGAATCCTGCCAAGGTATCCAAAACACTTGTGTCAATATGTTGTTGTTTAGTCGTTTAGTTGTGGCATTCAAAACACTTGTGTCAATATGTTGTTGTTGTTTAGTCGTTTAGTCATGTCTGACTCTTCGTGACCCCATGGACCAGAGCACGTCAGGCCCTCCTGTCTCCCACTGCCTCCCAGAGTTGGGTTAAATTCATTTTGGTCGCTTCGATGACACTGTCCAACCATCTTGTCCTGTTGTCGCCTTCTCCTCTTGCCTTGGTATGTGTCAAATACCATTAGGTAAAACCAATAGTATCTAAAACAAAATTCCAATATATTCCTACTTAGTAAGAGTGCTTAGGTCCACCATATACGTATGTCCCTTCCAGAACAAAAAGCGACAAGCAGTTTATGCAGTTGATTCCACTGTTCAATTACCATAATGTCATCCGGGCACTGGACACACTTGATCTTCACTGAACTGTCTGGCTCTAAAGGCAGCATTTAATGAAATCTGAATGAAGGGGTCCCCCCACTTTAACTTGCACAAGTGTCAGGTTTCTGCCAAGCATGGAAAACTCTTATGTTTTTGAGCAGTCCCCATTTGGTTCCATTTTTATTCTATTTCAATTCTAACTCACTTTTTCAAGGCTGAATTCTTCATCTAAGATTTCTGGATGACTTTTAGACTTCTTGTCTCTCATGATTACAGAACTCTATTTACTAGAATTGCAGACAAGTATTTAACCTGAAACATTCTGCTATCAAAAAATAATAATTCATGCAAAATCTGGATTTTCTTTTTCATGACACAACCTTCCTAGTATAACAGCAACTCAAACACTGTTTGAGTGTTTCAAACAGAAAATATTTCAACCAAAAAGGATGCAAACACACATTCAAGAATACGTATAATAAAATAATTTTATTTTGTAAAAAAATAGTTTTACAACTTGGACAGAATAATTTTTTGCTTTTCACAATTGTCTTGTTTGGACATCTTGTTTTTAGTTCTACAAGACATCTCTCTATAAGTTTGTTTTATTTTAAACTACACAACCTTGGTGTCATTGCAGCAATGTAAAAGAACCTGGACTGAACCTGGAACCATTTATAAGGGCCAGGAGTATATCGATTAGATTAATTTAGGGTCCCATAGCCAGCTACATATACAAGGCAACTGTTAGGAAAGAAAACATCTCAGTTTGTGTGCCTTCTGTTAATAGAATATTTCCACAGAGAAATGCAGTTATTTCAGTTCCCTGGAGGAGAAATATGGAACGCAGAACTACATGTGGCTTTTAAAATTGTGTGAACAGTTAACATGTATGATTTCTGATATGTAAATAGCAGCTGAATGGTAATCTAAATTGGGAGAGAAGGGGATATTTTACTCTCCTTCAATGAAAGTAATATTTCCAAATGTACTATTAATAGGTTCAGAGAGGCATTTTCATTGCAACTATAGTAATGAGAGAAAATAAATGCTCCCTCCCTGCCTTGTGAAGTCTTAAAACTGTCCAGGTTTGTCCACAGCTTCTGTTTATTAATTTATTTAATTTCATTCTCACAATCAACCTCATTTCAATTATGCCCAGCAAACTAGAAATAAATATGGTTGAACTTCATTTAGTTACTGAACCTTCCTTTCCAAACCCACAGCTAAAGGTTCTCTCCTTTCCCCAATTAATGATGTTTTCAGATTCCTTTTTGTAGGACATCTAGGATAGATTCATATGCCTATATGCTCCTGAGCCTCGCTCAGACAAATGTAAAAGCTACTTATGTAATCTAGGGGAAATGGGAAGACATTCTTGTGACTAGATTTGGTTCACATCATTTTATACCTAGGAAATAAATACATACTGAATCTGTTTAGAAGGCAGATTTCACTAGAAGTGCAAATATCCTACAATGTAAAGAAAGTTATTTGAATCAGAGTTTGGAAAAGTTACTTTTGGAGCTACAGTTCCCCCCAATCCCCCAGTCAACACAGCCACACTGCCAATGGGGAAGGGTATCTGTAACTTCTCCAAGCCATGGGTTGCATTTATCAAGAAATGGCTAACACATTTTTTTTCCTTTTAAATGACATTTCAGTCCTGTAACTCTAAAGATGTGAATACCTAAGTTAAAATCCAGTATTATGATATTTATGTTTTGAGTGAGCAGCACACTTAATGTATTACATTTCTGAAGCTAAAAATTCATACATGATTGCTGCGTCCAGTACTGCAGTACTGTACTGGAAATCCAGCAGCAGAACGGGATTTTACATTCACAAAATTCTTACTTCAGCTCTTTCCATATTTTAAAAACTGATTTAAAAAATGTGTAAAAAAGAGGCCACTACATGATGAATTATTACATGCTCTTTACAAACAGGACTCATAATAATGGGTTTGCTTATGCTACTAGGCTTTTTCCTATTTGAAAAACATATTTTATTAGAAATTGCACACTATTCATGTGCAATAGTCAACAAACATGGATATTATGCTGCATTTACCTGGACAGCACAGGCAGGAAATGATAATGGTGACTAACTTCCATTCAGTATTGCCAAATGTTTTTGTGCCACAGTTTGAAAGCACAGTAACTTCAAGTAGATTTCTCTTACTTCAGCAGACTGTGCAAAAATAGTGCTGTCTGTTCTTTTCCAAAACATTATGGCTTTTAGTGTCAATATCTTAAATACAGCAACTTTAAAAGTTGAGTCTCCCAGGAAGGATCAGCTAACTTTCCTATTTCTGATGCCCCCTGCCCCATATTAACTATATATGAAAAGGTACAATTTGATGGGCAAGGGCAATTATAGAAAGCTAACTCCCCAGAGGAGGGAAAAAGGCAGACAAAACAGAATATACTACAGTACAGTATCTGTATGTTTATATTAATTCTTTAGTAGTATTAACAAGACTTTAGTATTCATGGATGCATGAACACATTCTTGCAAGTGCTTAATATTTATGAGTGCACATTTTTCTGCTACTTCACCCAACTTCACCCAGGGTGTCCATACTTAGCTAATGCCTCAGTTCTTTCAGTAAAAGAAAGAAATTCAGCCTACTGATTTATAGGATTTATAACACAGACTAGATAAACAAAACCATCACATCCCAATGAATGCTTTATTGCTTATCATTCTCAAAAGGGTGATTAGTAAACCCACAGATTGCTTTGGATCTTCCCCACATAGACCAAAAGGGCATACTTGAGGCCATGTTGTTATTAAGGATATTCTTACTGATGTAAAATATAATTCAATACATTCTGTTCCTAAGTTATGTTATTCTAAGCATACATATCAGTCAAGTACAATTCAGGTAACAGTCTTGAAATAACAGTATTTTAACACATTAATAAATAGGAAACTACAAATTGAAACTACATCCTTCCTGTCCTGATGTAGCTGTTGGACAAGTTGCTGTTCTGTACATTAAGCACAATTTTCCATAATATGACTTCTCCTCTTCCTCCTCCTCCTCCTCCTCTCCTTTCTCCAGTAGTTCATAAGAATACTGTATGTGCCACTGATCAAGAACACAACTGATATAGCAGCAAAGTAGCCAGCGTAGATCATGAACTGTAGTAGGAAAGAAAGATAAACTGAAAAGCTGAAGTTCATGAGTTCTACTCAAAGCCAATCTTCCCATTAGCTAAGATGAATGGACTACTTAATACTGCAGATTTGGAGACTACTATTACAGAGTAGCACATGGTAATTTATTTGGAGAGGGCAAGTCATCATTTGGATATTCTGTCTTGGAATGTTCTGAACTGTCTAAGATGGAGTGGGCTTTGTGCAGTGCCAACAATCCAACCATGGCCCCTCAGACCCCTGACTCCCATATCCCAAGCACTAGCAATGCCAGTGGGTACTAACAGGTATTAGAACAAGTGTGGGCAACTACTACACAGTTTCCCCGGAAATAAGACCTACCCCCAAAATAAGCCCTAGTTAAGTGAAACCCCACCCTCCACCATTGAGCAGGAACCAGAAGATGATGACACTATTTGAATAAATGCAGACTGTTGTACATGAAAAAAATAAAACATCCCCTGAAAATAAGCCGTACTGCATTTTTGAAGCAAAAATTAATATAAGACCATGTCTTATTTTCGGAGAAACACAGTAAGGGATGAGTGGCTGCACATATCCATCCCTGGACCTCCCGTTGCCACACCAACTCTAACAAACATTGAACAATTCTCTCACAAATTGTTTTTCACATTGAAGGTCTCCTTCAGCCCTCTAGGACCAAATCTACATATACATATACAGTACCTACCTCTATACCTACACCGATACACTCTTAACAGTGATTAAGAACAGATCTATTTAAACAAAACATTTTGGCTTCCACTTTCTTCATTTGCTCTGGTAAAGGTAAGCTATTTCAACTCAAGAAGGTGCAAGCTGAAATGTTTTGCTAAAATACTTCTGATAATCGCTCTTACTAGTGTATATTTTTAGTGATTAACACCCCTCCCCCTAAAAAAATACCTCATACACAAATACCCTCCCAAAAGCTAGTATGTTGGGACTGGAATTACTTAGCTCACACCTTGAGATTAGCCAAAGGGCTTTAATTAAGAAAACTAGGCACTCTCTTTTCCCAAGCAGATAAAGGAAAAGCCTGGACCTTACCTGTGTGAATATATCCAGGCCAAGCCCTTTTGCATCAGCGACTATCAATGTGAGCAACGTCTGCAACATCAGGGCAACGAAAGTATTAACACCAAAGACTAGGGCATAGCGTTCTACACTTAGGTTGGTAGCAATTTGGAACCTTTACAGAAAAAAATAAAAGAGGAAAGATACAACATGAGCATAAGAGGGGAAGGATTTCTTGCAGGCAAACAATAGGCTTACGGGCTCTTTCAAGTTCAACATCAAAAGAACTGGGGGACAAACTAGACAAATCTGCAGAAATTCTGTGCTTTTCACACATAGAAATGTCTGAAGCACATAAAAGAAATCAAGGGGAATAGATGAGGCAAAGGAGCCAAATCTTCTCTTTGGAGCAGCTCAATCATGCACAACCAGTCTCATCACCTACCAAGAGTGTTGAGTCAAGTTATTTTGATATAAATGTCGACCTCATAAAAAGGTGCCTAGCAACAGGCAAGTAATGGGTTTTGAGACTCACACCTTGTGCTTCTCAAAAACTGAACTTATCAACCCTCTTTCTAAATAATTGCTTGCAGCCCCATGTTTAAATAGACACAACTGCTATAATCACATTTCATTTGTCTCTTAAATATGCCAAAAGCACCCTAATCAGAGCTTGAATATGTCAGGGTTTTTTCTTTTTAACTACAGTTCTAAAATCTTCTACCAAATACAGTAGGACATCAATATCCAGAGGATAAGTAACTGCGGTTTCACTTATCCATGGTCTGCAAATATTAAAAAGATCCCAAAAAAACCCTATTTTAATATGTACTACCATAACAGGCCACCAAATGGAGCCAGAGACTGTGCTATGAAATTCTTGTTGGTGACAAATGCATAGCATGGTTCCTGGCACACTCTAGTAAGCAGTTCTGGTAATCCATGGGAAATTATTTTTTTCGTTAACCTTACAGACATCTGCCTGACATCAATTCATTGACCCACAAGCCAATACACGCTGCTGACATTTCCTGCAAAGGGAAATGCAAAGCAGTTTAACTGGTCAAACACAATACACAGATTACATAAGGAAGATTAAAAACTATCCTTCCTGAGGCCACAGTTCAAAGCTCCACCCAGTTTGCAAGGAAATCTGGGTTGAGTTCTTCCCACCTGGCTTTTCTCTGAAAATGAAGCTCCATATAGTACTCATGCAACATCAGCATGAGTATCATATGGGGATACCAACATAGTCCCTATCCAGGGATCTCAGTGCTACGTACAGGGAGACAGTTTAAAACCAGGTGCCTGCTCCATTTGCTTGCACTGAGACAAACCAATATTCACATATTTTGCCATGGCCCATTTTCTGTTAGGATTCACCAGTTGAAGTAATGGGATTTATAATTCCCAGAATCTCCCAACCACCATGGCTAGATGGTAAAGGAACACTTACGTTGCGATTGTGATAAGCAGCATATACACAATTCGGAATGATACATAGGAAGCATAGCACACCCAAATGTTCCGAACTGTGTCCATGATATACACAGCTGCAGTGATGAAGAGGGAGAAAATGGCTAAGGTTATCTCCCCCCAAGTGGCCCAAGATGTCTTTATGTGTCCCACAGCAAACACAGCCACAGCACCTACAAATAGAAAATGTGACCAAGTTAGCATCCTAGAACACTTGTGTCCAGAATTTATATATACTAAGACATCACCTCAAGAAATCTACTTGGCAATAGTGATCAATACACAAAAGTTTCCATCAAGCACCTAAGGTTCTACACTGCTCAGAGTAAGCATGATGGAAGCAAAGGATTAGTATTTTTAGAGACCCTACAAAAAGTCTCTTAAACAGGAACAATTATTTACTATTTGGAAGATGTAGTAGTAGTAGCAGCTGTTATCTTTAAAATTCTAAGGCATGACTAAATTCCACTGCAGCCCAGACAGACTGCATAAAGATCAGAAACTACCCTTCCTGAGGCCACAGTTCAAAGCTCCATCTAGTCTGCAAGGAAACCTGAGTTGAGTTCCTCCCACCTGGCTTCACTCTGAAAATGAAGCCCCCATATGGTACTCATGCATCATCAGCATGCCAACATAGCCCCTATTGCAGCCCAGAGTAGTAATAAAAGTCTCCCAGAGTAGCCATTTTCTTCACTTCCTGGCAGAAAGAATAGAGATGACTAAATATTCTCTCTAAAACAGGGAGTACCACAACTTGAATGCAACCATGAAAAAGTTCTGCACATGGTTGTCACCAAAGCATGAAAGACTGGGACAACATCTGCTTGCAGGAGAAAGAACAGCCAGCATACCAGCCACAACTAATGAAATGTATTTGTAATCAAGGTTGCCAACTGAGCATCAAGCAGTCCAGTCCAGGAGCACATCCCCATTAGAAAACTGATCCTTCAGGGGTTTGACCACTACTCCCTTCCCCATCCATGTGCCCTCCAGAAGCGCTAGTCCATAACTCTACAGAAGGCAGGTAACCTCCTTTTCTGCACCCTGCACAAGCCTCAGGTCATTGCTAGATTCCTTCTGCTGCCACAGATTGCCAATGAAGAAATTGAACTAAAAAGCATCAGGTTTTCTTCTTTGCTATCAATTCCAAAACAAGGATAGTTTCCCTATCAGCCTGATCATATGTGACTTTATGATACAGAAGATACTTATAGCACACTCTTCTAACAGCTCAGAGTCTTTTTACTCCAGAATCACCTTATTAGTTTAAACACCAGCCATACTGGCTGAGGAAGGGTAGGAGTTCAGTCCAAAAAGGTTACTTGCTAAAGTGTGCCAGAGAGCTCCCATTGTTGCCACTCAACATCAGTGGTAGCTATGACAGAAAAGACTGTGGCTGATCAGTGCAACCCCCAACAAAACAACATTGTCCCTTTTCAATGAGGATCACTTAGTTGTGGTTTCAGGGTGGATTTGGTTTAAATCAAAATTAAAATTTAAAACAAATCAGATTTTTAAATATTTAATTTTTTTTAAATTTAGACTGTGATTTAAATCAATTTTATTTTTAAAAAATCATTTATTTTTATTTGCTCTTTGTGGTTGTGCCATGTAACTATCATCATGGTGCTGCATTTGACATCATATCAGACGCATATATGTATATGACTAATATATATTTACAAACATGCTCAGCATGTTTGCTTGGATGATTTCTCCAGGAGGATCCTGTAAACACTCTTATCACCATATAGAATCTCAAAAGGTATTGGTGCAGTGTTAGCAGAAGCTGCTGAGTCACCTCAGCTACACATCACATGAAACTCAGCCCATAGCAATTTTGATGTAGTGCTGTTTGGGCAACAAAGACTCTCCATTTCATGAGGTAGTACCAGAACAGGCACCATAGGTATAGCACCTTTCAATGTTTTAGAAATCCCTAGATAACATCCTTAATTTGGTCTCAGCTAACTAACTGCATGGTTGCCAATGTGTAAACTTAAATTTAACCTCCAAGTTTTCTGATTTGGTGATTGCCATGTTTCTGAGAGCCTCTTCTGCCAGCCAAAGAGAACTTATATGCTGTGACATGAAGTGACAAGAAAGATGCTAAGTGACAGGCAGCTATTCTTTGTCTATAAAGATGGAAAAAAGACAATGACATCTATATGGCCTGAGGTGAAAACCGATACCTCAACAGATTTTACAAGGTTGCAGCCTTCATTTTGGATTTTCATTTTAAATTAAAAGACTCTGGCTTTAACATCTAGCCAAGATGCTTTTGATATGTTTGTTTTCCTCTACCCTACCAAGCTCTGAGATGAGTAGCTTGATGATGACTCCTACGGGACGCCTGCTTCTGAGATACTGGTGGTATAATAAAGCATTCATTCATGCATCCATGCACTGATTCATTTGTTTTGCACAAGAACCACATGGATTTTTTTTTCTTTTGTCAGAAGCCCCTTGAAATACATTTCTCTAAATGTTGCTTAAAAGATTAATCTTACCCAACAGTGTAGATGCAGCCTCCACACCACCATTATAGATCTCTGAGCTGTGAGAGGGTTGCACCTTTTCCCACAGGCCTTGAGTGTAGTTTATGACTTGGAAGTAGCCACATGTCGACAACGCCCACCACACTGACCAGCACAGCAGAGGTCGGGAAGAGTAACATTGCAGAAAGTCCTGCCAGAGCTCTTTGACTACCTTCACGATGTCCACTCTCTGCTCCTGTACAGATTAGAACATAAACATTTCACTGACCTTTACACTCTAGTCTAGAGGAACTTACAAGAGTGCTACTAAAATATTACAGATCCCAACAGGCCTGAAGAATGGAAACTGTTTATACATTCAGGAAGGAGGCACTCCTATTTCTACCACTACCACCATGCAGCAATGTCTCTGGCTCTGTTGCCACAAAATAAACAGAACCTATGACAAACTAAACTGAGTATCAGTAATTGACATAAATGCATGAACTGGTTTGTCCAATTCATAGATCATGAGCACAAACCATAATTACACAAGCTGCCACAGTGCCTTTTGAAGTACCTTGAATGATATACTAAGAAAAGCCGGCATTTGCGCTATGGAAAATGTTCAGACTAGCCTTATACATGGTGGGCTCTGAACTGAAAATGAAAACTCTGTGGATCACAAAATCAGTCCCAAAAATTGACTCCTAGATGGTTTTAAACTTTAATCCTTTGTTTCACAGCATGACACCCAGCATAATAATCTTGCTGAGTGCAAACGGCAAGTTACCTTTGTCCAAATTCTGTGTCGGTAAACATTTACAATGTGGCTAAGCCAAACTAGAAAAATTAAAGTCATCCTGCTGATACAGTACAGGTGACCAAAGGAGATCAATTTTCATGTCCATATCAGCCCTCATTGGCCATATAACTATATGCAGATAGCATGTTCTCTGTATTAATTCTTTTCTAATAAATGAAAACAATCTGCCTCATAGGACTGTTATGACTACGATCAAGATAAGAACCCTCATGTTTCTTTGTACATTTAGTGCTATGGAAATTAATGTTTGGTTTGAGCAAAGCAGGGATGGGAACATTTTTCACAAAGGCTCTTAGTAGTGATAAAGCACACATTCATTCAGTAATATGTAAAGAGGTCAGAATCGAGAGGAGGGGGTTGTATGCACACTCAGAATAACATCAATGATAATATCTTACTATAAGCATTAACACAACACCCTTTTTGTCTGATATATAATCAATACCTCTAGGAAGGCAAACAGCTTCGCTTTTCTTAAGGGCTCCAGAGATATAACTTCTCAGAGATTAAACAGGCAATAAACATGTAAGATTTCAGATGAACATTCCAGACCATCCAAAAGCTTTACTTTTGCCCCAAAACTAAAACAGGCAGGTGTTAACCATAATTACATGCCATCAAGCCCATTCCAAAGTATGGCAACCATATCCAGGGCTTTCTAGATATACACCCAGAAGTGGTTTATCATTCCTTTCTTTTGGAGATGCTCTGAGACCACATAGCTTTCCAATGACCACACAAACTGGTTCTTCTCCTGGGAAGTGGAGGATAAGATTCCTGTCCCCTGATTCGAGGGCTACATTCTCTATCTCACTGAAATATCCAGCCAACTATTAACTATAGCCCTGAATATTAAAGTAATATTCTTCATTATAGTAGTAAGCTGGCTCTTTTCATGGAAGGCACGATGGGGAATGAAATTTCTGATGTCCAGCCCAGAGGTATCCAAACCACTGGGATTTTCAGAATATTACATGGTATTTACAATCTCAATAATGTTAACATCTAAAGCAATGATGAAACAAGACTTAGCAACAACAGTTGATTATTTAACAAACAGCTAGGGCACATCCAGTTGTTTTAGCAGAGGATGTTTCGCTTGACAAGGCAAAACAATCTTAAGGTGAGCCATTGAGAGAATGGCAGCATATTGTTGCTTGTCACTCTAGCTGCAAAGACAAAACAAACCAATACAGTAGTTCTAAAAACTTGTGCTGGTATCAGTTTTTCTTATGTACCCTTGACTGAGTTGTACAGCTGCCTGATGAAACTGGATTATTTGATAAAGAAAAGGTTAATGTCAGGACATAATTAATGGTAGGGTATTGTCCTTAAGAAGCATATTCTCATTTTGCGATGAAAGCAATTATAAGTTGACGCTGCTAGTATTACAGTTATCTGTAACTGCCATCACTTCCTAATTCTTGAGAAATGGCCTAACGCAAGGATAACATCATCAATAAATAATCTACCAGGTAGTGATAACTGCCATCACTTCCTAATTCTTGAGGAATGGCCTAACACAAGGATGAACATCATCAATAAATAATCTACCAGGTAGGAAAACAAATACTTTTATGTCTACATACGCCTACATATATACATTTATTGCAGAGTTAGATATGAAAGAAAGCTGGTTTTCACAAGAGGACTGACAGGTAGTTCTATCTTTGCTTTACTCTGTAACTGCAACATTGCAGACTGCAAATAAAGCAAGCAGTCCCTTTACTGAGTGTAGATCACTCTTCCCTATCCTTGTCATTTTGACAGATCATGTTACAGACAGGAAGACATACCTCTCTACAAGTACAATGTGAGGCCAACTGAGACCCTGTGATTATAACTCAGGAGTAGGCAATGTGGATGGCATGATTATGCAATCCAGGAGGGAAGTAAAATTTAAAGTATATATTGCTGCTCTATAGCATCATATCATTGGTCCATTAAACTCACAGCTATTTGCAAATACTGGCAGCACATTTTCAGGGCTTCAGATTGTGGGTTGAAGCTGGGACTTCTTTCAGTAGGTCATGTTTTCTATCACTGAGCTCTTGAGAAAGGCCATAGGTGAGGGAAAGAATGTCTGCCACTAATAAGATGACAAAGGAGCTTCTGGGTCCATATAAGCAACTGCATTACCTTCAGACAATGTCCCACCCAAGAACTGTGCTCCCCCACAACTCAGAGACACTCTTTGCATCCCCATGCAATGTGTCTGGTCTAAGGGAATGGAACTTTACAACAAGAAGAAAAAAACCCCATGCAATGTGTCATCCCCATGCAATGTGTCTGGTCTGAGGGAATGGAACTTTACAACAAGAAGAAAATGCAGTTTCAGAAGAAGGGACTGCTATTTCTCCACATACATAACTCTCTACTTTTTGAGGGAAATAATTGTCACTCTCTGTGTTTTCTGTATGTAATTTCCTTCTAACCCCACAATCCTTTATTTTTACCTGGAGCACTTGATAACCATACAAGCAGAGCACAAATAATACATCTGTTAGTCCTTAAGGTGCTCCAAAACACGTCACTGTTTTAATTGGAAGGAAACCTCTTCTGTTAGAAATAAGTTAGGAATACAGGAGCCTCCCTTATACTGATTCAACCCAGCTCAGTATTGTCAACTCCAACTGGTAACAACTCTTCAGGATTTCAAACATGAGACTCTCATAGCCTTACCTAGAGATCCCCTGCCATTCCCTGGTAACTTCACATATAAACACTAACATGACCTGACCCTAGTTAGTTTCCCTAGGCAACTGGTGTGTTCACATTGGGACAGTTCTAATATTATCCTACACCTAAGCACACTTTCTGAATTTTTAAAGCATACATTTTCAAAGAGAAGTCAAAATATTTTCAGAGGAGACCTAGTTTTTTTTATTCCTTAGGATTCAAAACACCACTGCTAGCAAGCACACCAACATACACACATTAACTTCAGTGGGGTACAGGAAGGAAGAGAAACCCAAGCTCGACTCCCCCTCTTTCATCTAACCAGGAGACTGCTAATGGAGACGTAAACTAAAATTATTTTTCTAATGGTTTTTCCTCCTAGACTTTCACATAGGCATATTTTTGCCAGTATCTTTTAAGGAAAGCCTCATTCTCCTCACACCTCCGAATCAGAGGACCAAGCAAGTCGACACATGAAGTACTGAAAGTATGCAAGTCTTTGCTCTATAGGGCAGGTGTTACAAATTTCAGCTGAAGAGCAAGAGCAGAAGGGCAGTGAAGACATGAGAACCTAGATGAGAAGAAAAAGCCGGAAGCAGTATCTGCCTAAGCAGTAATACATCTCCACAAAAGGGCTGAACAACAAATGTCATTGAGAATTACATTAGTTTTCTCAGCTTCAGAGTAATTCTCTGTTGGGGAACCAGCATTTGACTAGGTAACATTAATTCCATGGAATGCTAATAGCTAGGATTATCCACTGTAGCCTAGCAAACAAAACAAAACCACACAAACCCTATTTTGTCCAAAGAACTAACTTTGTTTTCAATAATTACAAATCCTATCTCTTTGATGAAATGCTTCTTGAGGGTTTATGACATCTTAACTGTTCTAGAAGCATGGCCATGACATGGCACCTTCAATTTATTGATCCCAAACTTAAGCAGCTGATATCCCTGGATTATTACAGACTTTCTTCCAAACAGTTATCCACAGCTTTATTACCTTATGGCTTGTTGTCCCCACTGCAAATGATTTCTGTTTGTAACATGCATATTCTTATACAGGTAGTAGCTAGAGATGGGGGTATTCATAAACCCCCATCTCTAGCTACTACCTGTATAAGAATATAGGAGGGTTCCAGGGGCCGGACTCTCGTTAAGTTCAGCAGCACGGGGATATTAATATTAGTATATGAATACCCCCATCTCTAGTAGTACCATGCATTGCAAAGTCTGTGAACAGCACCTTTACAAGAACTGCATCCTCCATAATAATGCTATCTACTCAGGAATCTGCATATCTGGTTTGTTTATACTTGCAATCTAAATCATATTTCTTCTGGCAGACAGAAGAACTCCATCAATACAACCACGCTTAAGAGAAATCTCCAGAACGTAAAGTGATCAGACACCTGGAAACCAATGAACCATCCTGGGATACTATACATAACAGAGCTACAGCAGTTCATCACTGCCAAGTAACCCAACAGATGTGCTTTGTGAAATGCAGGGTTCTAGATTTCATATCTCCTGAAACAGCAGTACTGCTTACCTGCTGCTCTGCAGGATGTTCTTCTATATTTAAAGGAACTTTCAATTCAATTTCTTCCCACCCGGGAACCCTCTTTAAGTCAGGATCATCTTGGACGACTGCTCCATTTTTACCATCTACAACTTTCATTTCCTTACTGACCTGAGTGTCTGAGGGGTGGTGAAAGAAAAGGCTCTTCTGTGGCATAGGCAGAAACCACGCCACGGCAAAGGCCACAGATACAGAGGTGAGAGACACCACATTCAAAATGAATAGAGACCAGCCAACAAGAGATACCAGGATCTGTCCACAGACAGAGCCTACAGTATAACCCACAAGGGTTGCACTTCGACAGTAGCTTGTGACTTTTTGGTACAAGGTCAGGTCCACAACACTATAGATGTAAGAATAATAGGCTATTTCTGTTGCAGTAACCAGTCCATAGAAGAATTCTAGGAACTGAATAGCCAACAGTCCTTTGGCATAAAGCAGCATAAAAAATGTCACAATAAGGCTTAGTCCTTGCAGAAGGATGACAGGTTTGTATCTGAGATAGTCTGTCGCCAAGAAGACAGGAAAGAGCAGCACCAAATAGGAGTAAGTCCATACTGGATAGATTTCATTGAAGACCTATGAAAAGAAAAAGTCACAAAATTTTAAAATGAGAGAAAATCAGTAACAGATATTAACACAAACTGGAACAGACGTCCAGCCAGGCTTGAAAACTGACAGATTCTATTTATGCTAACATTTGTATGCCACTGTACTCTCTGACACAGTTGCCAAAATGCTTACTTTATATGTATAATAAAACTAAAGTTAAAATACAATTGTGTTAAATAGAATTCTACAAAATAAACAAGTTGTTAAATAATTACATATAAAAATACAGCAATACTCAAATTCTGTTTTAAAGGTGAGTTGAATAATGTCTAACCACTCAGACTTTTCTACATTCTATTACCATTGGCCTCATGTGGCCAAACACAGCTTTTAAAAAATGGTTCAAGAATATTCATAAAAAGCACAGTGAGCAAAGTCAAAATAGAAACTTTGTAGAACTGGATGTGCCAGAATATGTTATCAGAGCTGCAACAGGTTTTACTATGATCTGTAGCAGCCAAGATATGATCCTTTGCAAGAATTGTATTTCAGCTATACAACTGGTTGATAGCTTAAAGTCAAGACACATGAATTCAAAAATTATCAGAGATGGAACTGTGATGAAACCTAGATCCAGTTTCCCTTTTGTGTTGTCTAAATTTCTCTAAGTGACATTTCAAAGGGGCTCAATGGATTTTATCCAGTTAAGCCCCAGGAAGGAACACCTTAAGCCTAAGCTGTTTTCTAGGAAAGTCCTTGTTTAACTTTCTTTTAAAGCTTTCTAGGTAACATATGGAAGTTCTGCCCAAGTAGTTCATTCTACTGTATGGATTTCACATACAAAGAAATGAATATTTTCAATATACTGTATAGGCCATTTCCACATTAAGGTTAAGAAGCACTCCTGAAGCACTACTCTAACAATCAGGTGAAACTGGATCTACCACTGTGGTTCCACTCAGTATTCAACACAGCACCCATTATAATCTTGCAATGTCTGTTGCTATGGGCAAAATCCTAAATATGTCTACCCAAAACACACACCCAATTAAATGTGTATACTCACTGACAAGCGTGTTTATAAGAACACTCTAGAAAAAAATTTCCATGTAGTTTAGCCCCTCTCCCAGGAAAAAATGGCAGACTGCGTACAAGACAAATTGACTCAGTACAGGAAACCACAGCCTTGGGTTTGCAAGAGACAGCAGGACTGTTAACACTAGGACTTTTGGGAGCTCACTAATTCAAAATGAAGAGTTGGTGTGATTGGTTAGGCCTCACCTTGAGTAGTGTCCAGTTCTGGACACCACACTTCACGAAGGATGCTAACAAACTGGAACAAGTTCAAAGGAGGGTGACAAGGATGATGGGGGTGTGTGTGGAAACCAAGCCCAGTGAGGAAAGACTGAAAGAACTGGGTACGTTAAGTTTTGAGAAACGAAGACAGAGGGGTGAGACAATAACACCTTTCAAATACTTTAAAAGCTGTCATACAGAAGAGGGGCAGGATCTGTTCTCGATCATCCCAGAGTGCAGGACATGCAACAATGGGCTCAAGTTACCGGAAGACAGATTTTGGTTGAATATCAGGAAAAACTTCCTGTTGGAGCAGTAAAACAGTGGAATCAATTACCTTGAGAGGTGATGAGTGCTCCAACACTGCAGGCATTCAAGATAAATTTAGATAACCACCTGGCAGATATTGTTTGGTTTGTATTCCTGCATCAAGCAGGGGATTGGATTTGATGGCCTTATAGTCCTCTTCCAACTTCATGACTATGTGGTTCTATGACACAGTCGATACAGTATTGGACTAGGTCTTAAGACACTTGGTTTCGAATTCCCACTCAGCTCTGGGAACTCACCAAAGAGCTGGCAATGGTAAACCACTTCTTGAAAATCTCACGTACTTCAAAAACCCTATTAAGATTGCTGTAAATCAGAAGTGACTTGATGGCACATAACAACATAATTCATAGATTTGCAAAAAATTCTGCAGCAACTTGGCAGCACATCACAATAAAAGTGGCTGCTTGCCCAATTAAAATTTGCCACTTGATTATTTCCAGAACCAGTTTCCCCACTACCACCAATATTTAGCCCTTTAATTACTATTTTCCAAAATTCAAATCTCATAATTCTCTTGTTCATTTTTCCTTTGTGTTTACTACCTTGTCTTGTAGTAAACCAACATAAACATTATGATTTTTTTCTTACATGAAAATGAAGCCCACTCAAACTCCAACACAGGAAAACAGTGGGGTTATGGGGAACTCATACTGTATTGGAGAGTGGTGGGAAAGAGATTCCTTCATAAAGAGCCTTTCCACTCCAGAGATGAAAAAAATCACAAAATCACCTACACATCAACTAGAGCAGGCTTGTCCAACCTGCCTTGTTCATTTTTCCTTTGTGTTTACTACCTTGTCTTGTAGTAAACCAACATAAACATTATGATTTTTTCTTACATGAAAATGAAGCCCACACTCAAACTCCAACACAGGAAAACAGTGGGGTCATGGGGAACTCATATTGGAGAGTGGTAGGAAAGAGATTCCTTCATAAAGAGCCTTTCCACTCGAGATGAAAAAAAATCACAAAATCACCTACACATCAACTAGAGCTTCTGGAATCAGCAACTAGAGAACAGTGGGGTTTGTTCTTGATTGTGCTGCTGAATGACAGCCAAGTTAGGTTCCAAAGCCAAGGATCAACAACACGTTGCTTAGAGATTGAAAAGTCACTTTCTTGAATTGCAACCCCAGAATTGTTCAACAACCCTGGCCACAAGCCAGGCTGGCTGGCTGGCTCTAGGAACTGGAATCCTAGAAACTGCCATATTACTATCTCAGTATACAGTATTGGTAAATTTAAAGACAAAATAGGAGAGATGCAAAGCCAAATATTATTTCTATATGAGCTTTTTGAATCAAAATCCATTTCTTCAGAAACGCTGCAATATTTTGCCTCTCTCTTTTCTTTTCTCTTCCCCACCATCTTTTTCTCCTCTAATTTTGCCAACATGATGTCCAACGGACAAACCTTTGCAAACACTGGCAGACCACACTGCAGGGTTACTGACCTTATGGGAGACCTCTAATAGCAAAAAAAGGTAAAATCCAACAACTTGACAGCAATAGATGCCATACAGATGGAATGAAAGTTTCCAGTTCAATAAAAAACAGCTATCACCAACATAACCTTAATGCTACCGGTTATGTGCAAGCAAGTCATTTCCAATTTATGGTGGCCTTAATAGCCTCCTAAGAATCCTATCATTAACAGCCCTGCTCAGCCCTTGTAAAATGAAGGCCATGGCTTCCTTTCTTACATCAAAGGATGTATGGAGCAAGTGTGTTGTACCGTTCTACTGACGTCAGGTCTGTGAACGATTAACTGGAAAAAAGCACACCTATTATATACAGTACTGGTAAAATTAAAGACAAAATAGGAGAGATGCAAAGCCAAATATTATTTCTATATGAGCTTTTTGAATAAAATCCATTTCTTCAGAAACGCTGCAATATTTTGCCTCTCTCTTTTCTTTTCTCTTCCCCACCATCTTTTTCTCCTCTAATTTTGCCAACATGATGTCCAACGGACAAACCTTTGCAAACACTGGCAGACCACACTGCAGGGTTACTGACCTTATGAGGGACCTCTAATAGTAAAAAAGCTAAAATCCAACAACTTGATAGCAATAGATGCCATACAGATGGAATGAAAGTTTCCAGTTCAATAAAAAAACAGCTATCACCAACATAACCTTAATGCTACCGGCTATGTGCAAGCAAGTCATTTCCAATTTATGGTGGCCTTAATAGCCTCCTAAGAATCCTATCATTAACAGCCCTGCTCAGCCCTTGTAAAATGAAGGCCATGGCTTCCTTTCTTAGATCAAAGGATGTATGGAGCAAGTGTGTTGTACCGTTCTACTGACGTCAGGTCTGTGAACGATTAACTGGAAAAAAGCACACCTATTATCTTCTTGTTTGGCAAGTGGAAGTCACTGATCCACTTACTGCTGCCTCTACTACAGCTCCTCACCACGTAGCCCTCTTGCCTTCTCTTGCAAGGAGGATGTAGCAGCCCAGGACCCCACCGAGGCACACAAACACACAATCCTGACCTCCTCAAGAGCTCCTCATTCTCACCCAGTAGCTTCAGGAGCATCTTAGTGACCCACCACGAGTGCTATGTTTTTGTATTTAAAAGATACCAAAGGATGAAACCTAGAGGAAGCTTTTGGCCTCTTGGGGGAGGGGGAGGGAAGCACGTGGTTTGAGGGGAACTCTCTCTCCGGGGGGGGGCATAAAATTTCCCCATAAAATGCAGGGTCTACACTCGACCGGCTACGCCCCGAAGCGCTTCTTTTGCCTCGTCAACCAAACCAAGCCAAATTGGTTTTGGTT